AAAGCAAAACAATATCGGGACTTTACTAAGATTTTTCCCTTTTTTTCACTGCTCCCCTTATCTTTTTAGCTATTACAGCTACTGAATAGTGACAATGAACGATTTTTTTTCTCTAGCTATACCGACGATATAGCTTCCTTCTGGACCGAGCCTTTTTCATGTAATTTCACACACACACACACACAGAGAGACTACACAAAATGTATTCAATCATTTGACATGTAAGAATACACAAAAGATTTTTTTTTTAACCTGAACCTGAATTAAATAAGGACTTACAGGTTACTCACATTTAAATATAAACATTGAATCGACCGACAATTTAGCCAAGACTTCATTGTCAATTGATAATCATAGTTGATGAAAATGTTTGAAGAAAAAAAACATTCCTATATATGGTCCAATGTCTCCTTTTTGTTCCTTTACCTGTGTATTTGGTTCGCAAACTTTTGACAAAAATTTTTTTTTTTTTCTCTCTCTCTCTCTGTCTAATTGATCAACTTACTGTTGTTGTTATCGTGATTTATAAATGTACAAGTTTATCTAAAGAAAAAAAAGAACCAAGTCTTTTTCCGCTCTTTGGATCGAAATTCGGCCAGTGACCGAGACAGTGCGGTGTTCAGATCTTTATTCTTCGGTTTTTTTCTTTTCTGCACCTTACTAAAATCTTCGATAATATAGTACAACTTGTTTCATCCGGTGAAACAAGGATGGAACAAAGGGGACAGTACTACTATTGAATTGGTTTCAGTCAATTGGTTATTATTATTATTGAGTTACAATCAATATCAATTTTGACCACCGGAACTTGGTTGATTGGAGTATAAATCTGTTTTTTTTTCTTGAACAGTAACCACTATCTATTTAGAGTCAATAGCCGACACATATGAACAAAATGAGAATCTTTCTCTCATCATTGATGATCATCATCACTCACTTACTACCCCTATTTTGAAGGTTAAACGAGACCAACAAGACCCACACACACACACACACACAGAGAGACACCAAAGCCCCAGAAAAAAAACACAACTGGCAATATTTCGTGAGTGATTCTTCCTGTCTGGTAATATGGTTTGTTTAGGAAAATAATATATAACAAGATGATGATGATGACCGTATGTGGTTTATAACATTTTTTTCTCTCTCTCTCTCTTGTTTCGTACACTTATAATCATCTAATTGAGATTTCGTATACCATATACACACACACACACACAAACACAATTTACCAATTCAATGATCATAGACTCGAACAAACATGAAAAAAAACGGAAATGATCAGATTAACTAACTGGCTCAATAATGGTGATGATTTGATGATGACGATGATGGTGATGAGCTGCCATTTGCACATGATATTTTTTTTTTTTACCTGCAACGGATTTGGGTTTGGTCTATTATATTTGTATATATTCACAACTATAGTAACAACATGAACAACAACAACAACAATTATTATTATTTGAGGGAAATTAGATTTTTTTTCTCATTCTTCTTATTTTTTTTTATTGAGATTGTATATATGGTCAGGAAAGAAAAACGATTATTATAATAAGAATCCAATAACAATAACAGTGACATTTGGATGTTTGAAAAAAAAATTTTCGATGGATGCATACTTTGAATATTTTTTATTATTATTATTTCATTGACAATGAAAAAAAAAATTCGAACCATTATTGACACTGTTCGTTGGAATGTCGTTTTTATTAGTGTTCCATTATCACAATGTTGGAAGGCTGCTAACATTGTGACATTCCATTGAGCTGCTGCTGCTGCTGCTACTGCTATTGGTGTATCGTATTATCGTTGATGAAATTTTGAAACCTTCATAGTTAGTGTGTTCTACTCTCCATCTTTAAATTGTTTTTTTCCATCATCATCATCATCATCATCTTCGGTGTTTGGCCAATTCAATTGTGTTATGATTGTAAATACAATTTTTTTTTCACTTGAAAAAAAGCAGGTAGCAAATGATTTTTAGGTCCGTTGAAATTTTATGTGCATTGTTGAACTTTGTCTTTTGTAAATTTTTTTTAAGACAGTGTTTGGTATGCAGGTATTACATGTGACAGATTTTTAAGAGATGAGGAGGATACACAAACACACACACACACACACACACACACACACACACATCTGACATCATCATATGAAATGGAATTTGAAGGCAAGTGTCGTACAAGCCAAACGAAAAAAAAACGATCCAACTATGAAGAAACAACACAAAAGATATTGTCAAGACAATGGATGAGAAATCGTTTCATATCATTTGTACTGGATATTTATGCATACCAAACACCCAGTAGCCACCAGTAGTTTCAGTGATCGAAGTAATTTTTTTTTTTTAGTTTCGGGATAAAAAAACCAGCAGGAGAGATTTTTTTTTTCTTTTTCGTTTTCTTTTACATTCATTGAGATCAACCGATGATATTATTGCGCGACAGGTTGTGTACACGTTATGGTGAATTATTCGTTATAATTTGGAAGGAGAAAATATAATGAAACCATATAAACCACATTAACCGACAAACTGATTTCATTCTTTTTCAATAATGACACATCTTGAATTTGAATAATTTTTTTTTTGTGTATAGTTCGAAAGTTCGAAGGCCTAGAAAAAAAACACCTTCGCTTTTTTAGTCCATTTTTGATGGTGGTGATGATGATGATGATGATTAACAACGTATCACCCTGATGAAATGAAATCAGATGAAAACAAGTTGTTAACGATCATTTTTGGTCATAAAAAAAATCTTGGATCGTTGTTGGTTTGAATTACTATGAACTATCAACTGAATATATGGCCAAATATCTTTGATGGACGAAACAAAACAAAATAAAAAAAAATCTAACCAATGATAAATTTCACACGATCCATAAAGTCACCTTCATGGATATACCACTGTTTCTATTCTCTATCTTCTTCATATAATCGGCTTCATATAAATTTCCATTACTTTTTCATCATTTGATCGATTGATGATCTTGACAAAGTTTTTCTTTCATTTTTTTCTTTTTCTTCTTCATATGGAACATTGTTTGCACTCGATGTATTCATATTGGTTGTTGATGATGGTGGATGACCTTTATTCGACTTTAAATGTCACATATTTTATTTTATTATTATTATTGGTCTTTTGATTTGGGTTTTTGTATACCTGAGGACGGTCAGGTCACCAGACAATAATCAGTTCAAAAAAAAAAATAGAAACCATAGCTTTATTTCAACAGAAACAATATATTTGAATCTTCAATAATACTTGACAACGAACTGTGAACCCAATTGATAGAAATAACCGCCATTCTCATCATCAACATCGTCAATGGTCGATCGTCACCTTTTTTTGAAGATCTACGGCTAACCATTGTTGACATAAATTTGATTGAATACATCTCATCCTTTCAGGTATCCCATCATCTATCGAATTTGATTTTTTCGATTCATTCATTTTCTCTCTATATGATGATCATATTGTTTGATTTGAACGTACATCAATGGCTTCTTGGCTTTTTATCTTTCACTAAGGATGTTAATTTGCATTTAATTTTTTTTCTTGCTTGACTTTAACCATCACATCATTTTATATTCATATACACACAGACCATATGGCTATTGTTATTTAGTCCGTATCCCTTCGAGCCCATTTTCATATGAATTGAATTGAATTGAATTTTGGCATTGGTATTTTTTATTATGTATCGTCATCATCGATCCATTATTATTATTAACTTCCAGTATCCATCCCAGTATTTTGATCATCCATCTACTATCCATCCAAAAGTTGATCACCATCGATACGTTAGTAAATGTTCATTGTTATTCTAATCAAATCAAAGTAAAAAAAAAATTCTGAAAGCGTTAAATAACAAAACCCGAACAATCCTTCTTCTCCTTATAACAATGAATAATAATAACTCAAACAAACAAAATAGATCAATCAATCAAAATCTGGTGCTGCTTCTTTTTTTCCTCAATTCATTTGACATTTATTTGACGTTTATTTGTCTCTTTTTTGTATTTATATTGATTTGATGATGACTTTTATTTGACCTATGATGATTATGATGATGAGCATCACGATCACGATTTCATTGGCAATGATAATCATAGATATTGCGATCATGGAAGATCAAATCGATTAGTGTCTATAGTTGAATTCATCTTCGGATCGGATGTTCCAGTTTTTTTTCGTTATCTGAACTAGAGAAAAAATCTAAAAGCTAAGCAAAACAAGTGTTTTTGTCCAAGTGTCCTATGACCTCTGTTCTTTTTTTTCGTTTCTTTTTTTTCTAGCCTTTTAAACTTTGAATTGATTGAAAAATCTGTTGTTGAGCAATAGCAACAGGAAGATAGACTACACACATATCATAGAAAGAAAACTTGGTGAGGTCCCCAAGTTTTTATTTCTTATTCACTGCAGTAGTCCAGTCAATAAAGTTATTTGAAGAAAAGAAACTTTTTTCTTTTATTTCGATCAATCGGAATCTAGCGAAAAAAAGCGAAATCTAGCTCGTTTTTTTTGAGACTTTTCACTGTTTTCTGCCTTAGGGGACATGGTAGCGGTCGTTGTCTTCGTCACTGTCAATTCATCATCATAGTCTAACCAAACAAAAGCACCATCATGTTCCAAGACTCTTGATGCCTAATATCAATGCTTATAACCATAGATTCACTAAACATATGCCAACATGGTATGTATTTGTCATTGTAATGTATAAGAACCATCCCTGTTCCCACCCATCCGATTGCATCCGATGTATCACCTGCGTTTATTATGTTGTTGATAATCGGACACAAATACAAATGTTGTACAGTGTGAATGTTTGTATGTGTGTGTAGTATGGTGGGCAGGCAGACACCTCTTGCATCGTGCTACGCTTGCTATTTTTTGACGAAAAGACTACGATTGTATCTGTGTGTGTGTCTCGTGGGACCAATAAATTCAGCGAATGCTAGTACCGTCCATTTCATTCACAAGTCTGACATCGACAATCATTCAACAAGCTGAGAGAGGTCACAATCCTGTTGATTATCGAATTTTATAATTCGTAATTTTTTTTCCACACAAAAACCAAACACGAGCCATATGTCATCATCGTTATTTTAGTAATCGAACATTCTATTCTTAATCGTTCAATAATTTAAGAAAAAAAAATGCCTAAAGCTTTTCTTCTCAAGAAAAAATCTTCAACCATTCTGAATGGACCAATTCGATCCATTTCACCAAAATTATTTTCACCATCATCATCATCTGGAATAGGATCACCACATTCATCTCATATGAGTACAGAATCAATGTCGCCACGAAATGATCAAGAAAATCATTTTGATCAATCATCATCGTTAGTTAAATATTCATCACCATTGAATGAGAATCAAGGTATGTAAAGAATATAAATTTTCTTATAGTTCGATGTAGTTACCTAAATTACCTTCAAATCATTAGGTCTAGATTTAAGCATTAAAAGCCTGCTAAAAGAATCGAATAGTTCATCATCAACATTCGTTTCGAGCTATCCGTACCCGGCAAAATTCGCTAAAATTGCCGATTTTTTACGCACGAATTTGAATGAATCATCCAATAAACAACAACAACAACAACAACAGCCGGTGCCTTTGGTCACACCCGTCAACACCCCAATCACTGAAGCTATTGATTATAGCGTGATTGATACAACTAAACCACAATCATCATTAAAACCAATCAACTATTCAAGAACGGAAGAAAAAGAATCTAATCATCATTATCAACGAATGCCACCATACAGTATTAATTGGAGTGAACATTTTTCTGTCAATCGTGTAATTGTTTCACCAAATAGCCAACGATCTGATGATTCTGGACGCGAAAGTATACATTCAGCTGATGATTTAGATATGAAAATTGATGTTGATAATAATAATTCTGATTTAAAAATCAACAACAATGGTCATAAAAAATCCGATCGTTATCATTGCCCTGATTGCAATAAAAGTTATTCCACACAAAGCGGTCTGGCTAAACATCAAGAATTTCTTTGTACAAGTCAAGTGAAAAAATCATTTAGCTGTAAACATTGCGAAAAAGTTTATGTATCATTAGGAGCATTGAAGATGCATATCCGTACACATACGTTACCATGTAAATGTAAACTTTGTGGCAAAGCATTTTCTCGTCCATGGTTATTACAAGGTATATATTTTAATTAATACTTTGTTTTATCAATCGAAACTAACTTTTTTTTTTTTGTTAAATTCATTCAATTAGGTCATATTCGTACACATACCGGAGAGAAACCATTTGCATGTCAATTTTGTAATCGTGCATTTGCCGATCGTTCTAATCTTCGGGCTCATCTTCAAACACATTCAGTAGTAAAAAAATATAGCTGCAAAACATGTAGCCGAACATTTTCTCGTATGTCATTATTATTGAAACATGAGGATAATGGTTGCAATGGTATTAATCGATCCGTCGTTCATCATCATCATCATCATCAATCGACAAATTCAAATCAAACCATGACAATGGTTCCAATTCAAGTTTGATTAGAAAAGATTGTTTTTTTTCTACTATGTCAATAATCACCTAGTCTTTATCATTATCATTACCATCATCATCATAATCATGACATTTTTTTTATTGCAAAAGAAAAAATTTGTATATATACTATTGACCTGTTGCACCATTATATATTTTTTTTATTATTATTCAGTTTTAATTAATTCCAATCTTCAAATGTTATATAATAATGATTCAATAATGGATGAGTACGAACCAAGTCTAAACAAACAATTTAAACACAATTGAAAAAAAAAATTATTATAGTCATCAATGATGATTTTTTTTTTAAATAAATATCCACACTCGATCACACATTTTAATCATATCACATATGATCATCATGATTTACAAGCACTTTGTATTGTAATCTCTCAAGAATTTTATTTTTATACAATACTTACTTATTTTTTTTTACCTACTGACCGTGAATCACTTATGTGCCATAATAATAAATTTACTATTGATCCAATATTTGGTGTAAATATACTTTGTCTAAATATAAATGTGACTAAGGTCCTCATTTATTTGGACCACATATATTCATCAGTATAACCAGCACCTGTACTCAGTGATTCTTTTGTTGTTGTTGTTGTTGTTGTTAAGGTCACGATCATCATCATCATCATCATAATGAAGCAAGGTCCAAGGTCTTTTAACAATAATTATGATGAATTTCAGTTTGATTCAATGATGATGACCATTATAATGATTGATTCAACATCTAAATTCGTTTTTCATTCAATGTTTGATAATCAAAACGTTTTTTTTGTGTTGTTGGTGACATTCATAAGAAAAAAATTCACAATCAATTTGTATATGAAAAGAGATGGAAAGTTCCGATGATATGTGTGACTATGTCAAAGACCATAGTGATGATAGTTGATTCGGTACTATTTTTTTTCTCTATTCATTTTTTAAATGAACTAGGTTTTTTTTGGCCATGGTGATTTGGTTTTTGTGCACCTGTCGACCACAGAAATTGCAACAACAACAGGAGAAGGACATGCATATATGGACAGATGGCCCAAAACACCATTTTGGCTAGCCCTGACCACCTTGTGTTATTAAGAATAGTAAGAAAAAAGCCGGACATGTTCTTTCGGCCGAGACCTTGTGTTGTGTGTGTGTGTATGTGTGTGTTTGTTCGTATGCGCGACAAACTAACCAAAGAAAAATAAATCTAATACCTTTAGGCCAAAGTCCAAAGGCAATCTCGACAAGTATTTTTTTTTTCGTACCCTAATTCTTAAATAAAAAATGTGAAAATTCACAATGGCTTCTTCATTACCATTTCGAATCGATATATAAAAAGAGAAATATTCTGCGAAAAAAATATGGAAAAAAGTTTTTTCTTCTTTCGACACACTTATTATCACACACACACACACACACATTTATACAATATATATTTGAATTGAATATTCAACAAGTTTGAAATATCATTTTTTTCGTTATCACAAGTTAATGAATAATAAATTTATTGGAGCACAAATGATGAATATATATTACATTAATCGTCTAGTAAATCATCATATAACATATGTAATTGAATAAGTGTGTTAAAAAATACAGAAATCTTTTTCTTCTTCTGGATTATATATGATGATTATTATTATGATGATAATTACCATGTCGAAACTGAGCATACACTCACACACATAATTCATGATCATCATCATCGATAATATTGTTGTTCATCCACAATCAAATACGGGCGAAGAAAATAAAAAGATTTCATAATACCCGATACAAAAATGTTCGGTTATTCGATCCGTATAACATTACTGTTAGATTTTTTTTCCTATTTGTATGTTCAAAGAAGATAAGAATGAAAAAAACGGACAACAACAACAACAACAACAAAATCTAGTTGAAACGAATGAATGAACGAATTAAAAAAACCGAACAAAAAAAAAATACGAAATCTTGTCACATTATTTGAATGATGATTATGATGATTATGTTTATTTGGTTCGATTCAAATTGGATCGTGTTTGGAACACACACACACACACACAGGTATGAAGAAAATTTTTTTTTGTCTGTGTGTGAATAAAATGAATAATTGAAAAACTTTTTCAAATCTTTTTTTTTTTTTATTTTGGAAATCTTGTTCACGTTTGTCTACTTGCTAATCGTTATATATACACATACACCAGGACACCGGTTTTTTTTCTGGTTATTAATCAAATTATTATTGTCACCCGAAAAAAAAGAAGAAACTCGAACAAAGTCGAATGAATGACATTGTGTGAATCCTAAAAACATGTATTGCGCTTAAGTATGTGTTGAAGAATAATAATAAAATAAAAAATAATTACTCAAAAACCTAATCAAGCAATGTAATCGTGTATAAAAAAAGCAACGACAACGAGAACAAACATTTTGCATAATAATAATCGATCTTGGATTTTCAATTGATTTTTATTTTTTAAAATTTCTTTAAAATTGTTAACAACGAAAAAAAAAATAGTTCACCCGTGTGTCCAGTGTGGTTGTTGTTGTTGTTGTTATTTTGGTCGTTGATAGCGGCACGAAAGAGACGGGACATTGATCGATCGATCAAGTGTTAGATCTACAGACAAATAAAGAAGAGAGAGAGAGAGAGACTCTCATCGATTGATTTCCATGAATAAATCGGAAGTTTGTTTTTTTTTCATACATTTTCTATTCATTCATTCATTCAGCTACCGATTTTTTTTATTTGATCATTTTAAAATCAAATCAAATAATAATCACCAATATTTTTTTATTGTCAAATCGATGCAAATGCCATTCCATTGACACAGAAACACAATTCGTTCGATTAATTTTTTTTTTTTTTTTTTGGATGATCAACAACATTATTGGTGCTGGTGGTGGTAGTCGATGGCGATCAATCGAATTCAAAAAAAAAATCAAACAATAACCAAACATAGGCCCAACAACAATTTGGAATGGCCAGAAAAAACCAATAACAAAAACGAATCAAGCCTCTTCGAATTTGAATTTAATTTTTTTTTCACCGAAAAAAAATTCAAATTTTTCATTACATTTAAGTTGAACAAAAAACAGAAAGAAAAGAAAATTATCAAATAAAATTTTTTTTTCCTATTTATTATTACATCGTGTGCGATTTCATTGGAATGAAATCAAGACATTATCTGAGAAAAATTCGAGATGACTTGTCGGGATCCAAATAAATATATGAATATATATGACAAAGAAGAAATGATTATTGTATTAGACTGGAAATCATAACAACATCAAGGCCAATATCATTAGTGTCAATAATAAATTACTTTGGATACTTTTAGTTCCAATGAAAATTTCACCGTGTATACAATGTGTGTTTTTTTTCAAAAAAAAAAAACTATTCATATCCCATTTTGGTTCAAAGTATTTAATGTCGAACATCTTGTCTAATTGTAGGCATGTCTCGTAAATAACATTTTGGTTTTTTAAAGAAAAAAAATCCACGGATATTCAATATGATCATCATGAATCCTGTGAATTCAAATGTTTCAAAATCTTGTTAAAATATTATTTCAACATTTGAATGGCAACTCTTTTTTTTATTATTTCTGGATATGATGATGAAGTGGCCATTACATAAGATTTTTTTTTTAAATATATTAACATTAACATTTTTTCTTTTCGTTATTATTGTTGTTGTCGCTGATACCGGTACTTGTGAAACTATAATTTGTTGTCGATAATTTCTTTTGGAACATTTTAACCTTTTGACATTGAAAATACATATTTTTAAACAAACATGTTTGATTTTGATTATTTTTTTTTCTTTTCTCATTGTCATTGTGTAGATATGTTGTTTAGATAAACTTTTACAATTTTTTTTCCAACATATAACCGAATAATTTATCAGTTTTAAACTCTTTTCAGTTATATGGAAAGGGTCAAAAAAGATAGCAAAAAAAAATTATTGATTAATGATAGGCTTTTAATCATAATCATTTTTTTGTTGTTGTTGTTGTACTGAATACTTTCAATTTCAAGGCGTGTATGTGTTTGAATATTATTTAATTTTTTTTTCCTATACATATCGGTAATTTATCATCACTTATTTGAAGGTCATCTTATGTCTTTCCTACATCACTATAGTATACCCTTTACACCCTACGGGTGATCATTATTTCGATAAATACCATTTCGGTAATCCATTCGAATCAAATGTTATGTTATGTTTTGTTATGTTGTTATTATGTTGCATCATGAATCATGTTTCGCTTTCATTTCGATCCATATAAAACATAATAATAATAATATAATAATCATTCATTTATCATCAATACAAAACTCTTTGATCCAAAAGAAATAATTCAATTCATATTTAAATGAGATTTTTTTTTTTTGTTGTTCTCTATGTTATTTTGTTGTAAGAGTGACAAACAAAATCGTCTTATAAGTTTATATAAATTAGTTTCAAATGAGTAAATAACAAATTATTGTATGTTATATTGCATAACAATGAAAAAAAATCGAGTAAAATTATGGATGATGATTTTGATTTTGTTTTGTTTTGTTTTGTTTGCTATTTCTATTTTACAATAATAATAATAATAATAGTAGTAGTAGGACAATGGATAAGGAAAAAAATCCTATGACTTTCTATTCTCGGGTGAATATTATTTTCTTCTCTTCCTTTTTCCACCAACACTTTGTTCGATCACAAAGTGATCGAACCTAAACTTAAACACCTTGGCTATATTCGGATGTTTGCACACAAAAAAAAATTTGCCGTTTCCAAAAATGAAAACGTTTCACCTTTAAGATTTGACCTTTTTTGGCATACATCCAAATAATAATCATTTTATTTGTTTGAAACCGTTTCAAATATAGTGTATGGTACTTAGTTTCATATATATATAATAATGATGATGATGATCGTTAGTATATTAACTTTAGGGATTAGAATAGAAAATGATTAATCCAGCACAAATCCAATCAAACAAAATCCAGATATTAAATTTGATTTTTCAGAAATTTCTCAATCTTTTTTTTTCGTCAATAACTCTATTTCTTTCCAAAATCTGATTGATTTGTTGGATTACCCCCATTTGATTCTTTGATAAATAAAATAATTGATTCATCAAAGAATGTCATTTGATCATTTTAAAAATTCCACGTTTAAAACCAGTTACTTTCGCCATTACAAATTCGATTCTTTTTTTCACGATTAACATGATCATTAGATTTAATTTTAAAAATTGATTTCATAGTTGATGTTATATCAATATCTTTTGGATTCATTGTCGAAAATTTAAATATTGGTTGACCCAATTTTGGTTTCACTGTTGTTCGGAATGATTTCGATAAAGTTGTTCGGAATGGTTTTGATGTAGTTCGAATTGATTTAGATGTTGTTATTTGGATTGGTTTCGATGTTGATTGAATTGGTTTCAATGATGTTTGGATTGGTTTCGATGATGTTTGGATTGATTTCGATGTTGTCAAAACTGGCTTCGGTGTTGTTGTTGATGTTGTTGTTGTCGATGTCAAGATTGATGTTATTGGATGATTAATTTTTGAAATGATCACTTTTTCAGAATGTTTTGTTGAAATGATCGGTTCGACATTATTCCCAAGAATTGGTTTGTCTTCAATACATTCATAATCCACATGATGATGTCGTAGACGCAGAAATAATTTAGATGGAATTGATGATCATCAATAAAATAGCAACTTTCAATATTATCTGAGTATCATTAAGTCGAAATATTTCACGCATAAATTCAGAATATAGCTACATGGATTAGATTTAATAATACGAATCAATTTATCATCAATTTTTGAAATAGTTTTCACAAATTGATTCATCCTTGCCAATTCGTGATATGGGTTCTGATAACGATTTTACGAGCACTTCCAGTTCGGTTACACCTGAACTGGACCAGAATTTTCACCCACATTGTATGGATACCATTTGTTTTTCTTATCCAAAATTAATTTATCATCAAACGTTCTTGAAAAGTATTTATGATGCCAGTTTAGAATTCTTTTTCTTCGACTGACCTGCATCCAAAAATTATTGATCAGGGTCGGAATTAGAACTCAATTGTATTCAAAATGAATTTTAAAATTATTGATTGACAATTTGCGTTCATTCATAATAGAGGAAATTTTCCCATTGTGAATATCTTCATGAATTCAAAAGAAATTGTCGACATAGTAAATATTCAGACGTACCACAAACAAAACAAAATCTGTTGAAAAATTTCAATAATTCCACGTGGTTTTCAAGCACAATACCTCTGAAATGATGAGATGAGAGAGAGAGAGAGAAATCGTACGATGATCGTTGAATTTTCGTTGGAATTAGTAAGCATATCACTCATGAAAGAAAGAAAGAGCGGGAAAAGGGGAGTAGGGGTATAAAATTATAGAGATTTGATTTAGACCACAAAAGAAAGATAGAAAGGCAGTATGAAAATGAATAGTGATCTAAATCGGTTCCCTTAAATTGAAATAGTATAAAACCCGACTGATCAAGTTCAACTGCAATCGCTTTTACAAAAACAATAACAAATACATTAAACAAAATGAATTAAATAATTACATCAATAATAAATTAAGAAGAAGAGTTGTTCAACCAAGGCTTTTCCCTTTTCGACTCATTGATGTTAAAACGCGAAGATTCATTGATGAATTAAATGAATTGAACATTTGATGACAAGAAATTCAATTTTAAAGGCTTTGCCAAGAATTGATTCTTCTAATTGTTGGAAAACCGTTTGACCATTAATCGTTAACTGACCACGCTTCATACGATAAATCTCTGATTCTACATGGAAAGACCCATGAACTGTTATGTTTACATAATGATGCACCATTCTGGAGTAATGAGATCCTCTCATGCAACGGTAAGGTTCTGCATGTAGCCTTTACATAATTAATACCCTTATATCGAATGGGAAGATTAATGACGATGATCGAACGTAATTGATTCTTACACATTTTGGATTCTTGTTGATAACAGCATACCGGGACCAGAATATGTCGTAATACACAATTATCCTTATTCGTCCGATCTTGAGCCAATATGAAACGGATCACAGCCTGAATAATATCATATTTTGGATTATCTTCACCGTATTTACATTCAGCTGTAAGTTATTATCCAACAGGATTCCATAGACTAAAAACAACATTGAAATTAAATCAGGATGGACAATGTGTTCACAAATTGAAATATTAGAAACAATTGTTGAAATGATATTAAGTAACGATGAATTCTGAATAAATCTGGCACCAAGTATAGATGTTAGAAACATTTTCAAGAAACATGTTTAATTTGATCAATCGATGTTGATGACCAATTCATGAACCACTTTTTCATAAATTTTGAAATTCCTCATCTCTTTGAACAGACGAGATCCCAACTGGCTTTTGGACATAAGAACCAAACATCACTGGATGCTATGACGATGATTGATGTAACATCATACCAGACACAAAATGACGAGGTTAGATGAACTTTAAAGGAACTTTATGCATCGCGTTTCTTTGCTAAGCTTATGTTGTAATTTCTCACATCGCTTCCTTTCAAATTTATATCATTGAGATATTAGTTGATCGCAACGACGATTTGATCACCATGGTGGTTTGAGATGAATGTCACACTTCGTAATAATATAGTCGGTAGCAACACGATGTTTTGATCTTCTCCAAATTATGAATTAATCTGCGATTTGAGAGATGAAACAATTGATTAAATTAATACAGCATGTTGTCGACTACAAATGTTCACAACGGATGAAATATCGATAAAGTTCACTTTTAACTCGTTTAGTGATGTTGCTGTTGAAACCAGTAATATATTAATTATATATGATTCATAATGGTAGGTGTTGCGATGGCGAATAGTTGATGACGACGTTGTCGTTGGGAATGAGATAGAATCTGGTTAGAATTCAAAGTGATGCTGAAAGATCTTAAGTAATGGCAGGGACTGCTGATGTTTAATTTCTATTAAAATTTCTCCATCTCTGTTTGCTCTTAACTGTAGGTCTCTTCTTCTGGCATAGCATTCAACACTCGCATTTGCTGGTTTAAGATTTTCATGTGAACAATAGCTTCAAGGATATCAAATCGAGATATTCCCATATAATACAGAAGAATATCTTTGTAATGATTTCAAATGGACCTCATATCTTAGATCTAATCTTCTTCTCCGCCGACACTACGGTACTCTTAGCAACAATTCAATCCTGGTTCAAACTGTTTAACCTCTGACCAACAGCCTTTGATGATTAAATATCTGTAGTTTCATATATATATAATAATGATGATGATGATCGTTAGTGTTCCAGTTAACTTTAGGGACAAACTTTATCTTTCTATAGTTTTATAAACCCCCTTTAACAGATCATCTTGACTTTGGATTCAAAGTTTATTTTAATAATAGTTTGCATGAAAACAAATTTATCAATGACAAATCGAACTAAAAGTGTTCAATCGATATTATTGGCAAAGAAGAAGAAAAAATCGAATGTTTACTTTGTTTTATGTTTGATTTAGAATCAGAAATAAGATAATAAAAAATTTAGTTAAAATCAATCTGTTGCATCATCGAATCGCATCGTATTTTTAACCATGAGATTGAAATTTCACAACTTAATAAAGAAAAATTAAATTTAAAAATTTGCCGTTTCCAAAAATGAAAACGTTTCACCTTTAAGATTTGACCTTTTTTGGCATACATCCAAATAATAATCATTTTATTTGTTTGAAACCGTTTCAAATATAGTGTATGGTACTTAGTTTCATATATATATAATGATGATGATGATCGTTAGTGTTCCAGTTAACTTTAGGGACAAACTTTATCTTTCTATAGTTTTTTATAAACCCCCCTTTAACAGATCATCTTGACTTTGGATTCAAAGTTTATTTTAATAATAGTTTGCATGAAAACAAATTTATCAATGACAAATCGAACTAAAAGTGTTCAATCGATATTATTGGCAAAAAAGAAGAAGAAAAAAAATCGAATGTTTACTTTGTTTTATGTTTGATTTAGAATCAGAAATAAGATAATAAAAAAAAAATTTAGTTAAAATCAATCTGTTGCATCCATCGAATCGCATCGTATTTTTTTAACCATGAGATTGAAATTTCACAACAAAAAAAATTAAATTTTTCACCCGCTTTTTGATTGTTACAATTTGTTGTTATTATCAATATTATTGAAGTTCCAGAAATTTGACATTTGCGAAAGTTGTCTCCCATTTTTTTCCATGTCGGTAGGTCGGTCGGTCGGTGGTCTTTCGATCGATTCATCTATTTATCCATCCATCCATCTATCCATCCTCCAATGAAAAATCAACCATTTCACATATTGTCACATTTAAAAGAAGAAAAAAAAAAGAAAGATAATTCATTAATTTCACGCGTCAACTCATCTTTTATTGTAGTCGTCTTTTTTTTTACTGTTGCTAGTTGTTTTGTTGTTGTTGTTTTTCTTGTTGTTGTTATACCTGATATATATATATCTATAGAACGGTAGCCAAGTAAAAATTTATCAGAAAAAAATGGCTATCACATATCAAGGTCCCTAACCAGAAAAAAAAGAATTCAAAATGTCTTTTCACAGTGTATAATGAATAGAATGGTAGAAAAAAAAATTACAATAGCTAAAAAAAATACCAAATTGTAAAATACATTCGTTGGTCAAATCGAAAATGATGATGATGATGATGATCATAATCATCATAAGGAAAGATCAAGTCAATAGAATAGCCATAAACCATTATCATTTACCATTTAGGTGGATATAATATAATTACCCGAAGAAAAAAAAACATAAATAAATTGTTACCGGTCATATCGACAAACTGACTGACTGACATTACTAATGTGAAAATGTGTAATCTGTTTAGATACAGTCATAAATGTAATCTGTGTGTGTGTGATGTTCAATGTGATTTATTCACTTAAAACTATTTGTTGTGTAATAATGATGATGATCATTATCTTTGGAATCGCACATCATGGTCAAGTAAGAAAATATATTTTTTTTTTGTCTATTTTGTTTTCGTTTTTCCCTCTCTCTCTCTTTCGCATCATTATTTTACATGAAAACACACAAACGGGAAATCATAAATCGCATTCGCAATACCTCTCTATATTATTGTTGTTTTTTTTGTCACTTAAAAAAGTATAAATATTTTTGTCCATCTAAAATCAGAGAATATACAAATCAGATTTTTTTTCACGTATGAATACAAGATATTTCAAATGAGCAATGTGTTTTTTGAAACAACAATGGTTCTGATATAATTAGTCGAAACAAATCAAATCGACAAAACCAAAGATTGAAACCTAAGATAATGGTATTATTTATTTTTTTTCTGGGTAAGACATTCTTCGTTTGCCTTTCATGATCAAATAAAGAAAAGTAGATTACCGATGACCTGACGTGTGTTCAAAAAAAAAAAAAAAAAAATTACCCGATGTATATATGCTTGTGCATTTTTTCGGGCCATCAATCTGATTAACAGTGAAATTTTTTTCATTATTATTACCTAAATGGACATCTGTCTTATCCAATTGATAAAGCATCTGTTTGTTCAGTCCATAAAAAAAAAAATTATTATTTTTTTTTTGTTGAATTTCATCGAAATTCCGTTGATAGACAGCTAATCAGATTCGTACGAATACAAAATAACTAATTGATTGAAATAAGTCTTCACCACCACCACTAGACCGCTGATCGGAGATCAATATCTTTTCAATTTAAATGATGAAAAAAATATACACATAGAAATAAGTGTCTTGGATGCTATCGGGTATTAAGTGGCGAAAATCAAAATCTACAATTCCCAATCAATCGGTCCAAATCTCAGTTATGATTTTTTTGTTGTTGTTTTTGACTTGATCTTGAATTTGAATTTTTTTTCTCTCCTCTAAACATGCGAAATATCCACAGAAAAAAAACTGGTACACAATCTACGTTTTGTGGTATTAAATCAAGATTAATCTTTACCAAATACAGGTCAAAGGTCGAGCTACCTACCGACCGATCATTCAAACCAATTGCTTTCATAAGTTTGTACATGTGATTTACCATCTATCCATCCATTCGTTCCGATATACAGCAGTCTAATCAAATAGAAAAAAACAGGAAAAAAAATATTGACAATTTTGATTGAAAAAAAATATACAAAATATTCAATTGGTTATTTGACAATGGTATTGACATTTGACATGAAGATTGAGGCTTGTTTTTTTGTTGTTGTTGTTGTTGTTGTGTGATGGTTGAAATCAAGTTGCTCTATTTGTCTTGTTCACTGTATATTTTCCTGACCTCGAAGACCATTTTTCAAAGACAAAAAAAGGGATGAATTTCAAGGAACAAAAATCTATTCGTTAAAAATCGTTTTATAGAGATGTTTATATGTTTTTCTGTCATATTTATCGGTGAATTATTATTACGATTGGTTGATGTTTGATACAAAGCAAATTTGATTGAAAAAAAATGTTAAAAGGACGAAGACCGAATAATTGTTTCTTTGAAAAAATAGGGAAATAAAGATGAACAAAAAAAAAGTGTAAGCTGAAATTAATGGCCAATCCAATATATTGGATACATATCCATAACAACAACAACAACAACAACAACAAAAATAGAATGAACAATCAACATTAAGTAAGGTTAAGTTCTTTACCTTTACCATAATCATAACATTTTCATTGATTGAATGGGATTTTCTTCTTATTTTGTTGTTGTTGTTGTTGTTATTATTATTATTATTGTTATTAATGTTGCCATATTTTTTCACTTGTATCAAACATATTATATAACTAACGACGATGACGACAACGAAAAAAACAAACCAGAAAAAAAATGATAATCGTTTGGCCATAAAAAAAATAATGGTTAGACATATACAAATGATATATAACCGATGGTATAGGGTATTAATAATCAAAAAAAGAAAGAAACAGAGAGAGAGAGAAAAAAAAACGTAATCATCCGATCGATTGTAATTATTAGTGATCGATGTATTTGGAAAAAAAAGAAAAAAGAAAGCGGAAATGGTAGGGATTGATATTTTTTTTCTTGAAGGAAAAAAAATTTTAATTTCATCTTTTTACTAAACATAAACACTGGTAGCTGGATTTATTTATTGGCTAAAAATGATAACCTCGAAGGTCATAAAATTTATTTATTTATTTTTTTTTCATTCTCTCTGTTCTCATTCCATAGGTCGGTGTCTCTTCATTTTGACGACGATGCGAACGATGACATTCGGTTTTATAATTGATAAACCATAATTCAAATTATATACAATGGGTTTAATGGTATTCAAAAAAAAACTTTAGATGAACAGAACGAAAAAACCAGATGCCATTCATTCATTCATTCATTCGTTCGTATGGATAGATGGGATTCACAACCAACGATGCAAATGGACATAAATAAATATTCGTGTATATATGTGTGGTATGAGATGAGGACCATAATAAATGTCCATTATTATTTTTTTTCATTCCCATTGATGGTTTATCGAAAAAGGAGAAAAAAAATGAATCAATGAATTAAATTGAATGAATGAGACCAAAAAAAAAAAAATTGTTCCAAAACGTTTTTTTAGCACGTGAAAAAAATTTTTCAATTTTAAGGTTCACTTTCAATGTGTACATGCTTAGTTGTAAAAATATCGGGTTGAGAATGCCAAAAAAAAAAAACACCCGCATTCAAATATTGATAGACATTGTTGGAAAGGTTTGTCAATTGTTGATTATTGTTATGGATTGGCATTTTTTTTTAATTCTATTTCATCTATCGAATTTGATCGAGAGAAAAAAAATTCAATTTTGATGTAGACGAAAAAAAACGCAAATCTTTCTAAAATTCAAACAGTCAAGCAGCATTTATCCGTATGTCATTCATTAATAATAATTTATGTCAATTGTCGAACGAAAATGAGCTTAATTCATTTGTTTCATTTCAAGTTTTTTTCTATCTGCCATCGATCGGTTGAATCGGTGAAAAGGATTTTTTTTCTTCTTCTTCTGATTCATTCATATACACAACGGTATTCGATACACAAATCGTTTCGAATCAAATCGGTTGGGTGAGAACCCAAGATGCCAGACAAATAATGAAAAAAAATCCTACCACCAAGTTAATCGATAAAATCGGATCGAGTAGAGCAGGTTCATTTTTTCTATACGTACACCAGATACCAGAAAAAAAGGGTTACCTAACACATACAGAAAACAGCGAGAGAGAGAGAGAGAGAACAGATTGAGGAAATCGGAATGAAAAAAAAAATTCAATTTGATTGATTTGAATTTGGATTCGGTTGTCGCCAAATAAGATGAAGCAACCAACAAAAAAAAACTGAACCTGTTTTTTATAAACACAACATAAATACAGAACATGATGATGATGATGATGGTTGGATTGAAGAAAAAAATGCCGAAAGGAAATTATTATCTCGACAGATGTAACCGGATAATGTGTCATACATTTGAACAATTATACAATTCATTAGAGGTATTGTGTGAAGAAAAAGTTTCGAATCCATTTGGTAGTTTGAATTTTTTTTTCTTCCAGTTTTTTTTCCTGCTACCATATAATTGTGATTGGCAATTATGGTTCCCCGTTTTTTTTTTTTTTTTTTTTTTGGTTTTGATATTATCAACGGTTACAATCAAACATTGAGCTACCAATCAGTTTATCAGGATTTTTGTATTTTATTTTTTATTAGAATTTTTATTTTCGTACTTTTATTTGGTTTGCTTTGTGAATTTTTGAAATGTCCGAGTTTTGTTTTTGCACCAAAAAAAAATTGTTTTGAAAATGTTTGGAAAAAATTATCACGAAAATTGATTAATTGATAAAGATTTTTGAAAAATTCATCATCTGAAAAAATGACAAATACCAGAAATGCCGAAAAAGTAATAAACAAAAATGACAAAAGTAATTTCTATAGATTTAGAAAAATTTTCTGAAAATGAAATGAATGAATATTTGTATGAATTATGCATAAAAGTTTGCTGATAAATAAACAACAACAAATCAATTGTTATTTATGGATCGCTACATATATAACTTCCGGAATATAAGATATTAATTTTTTTGTTGTTTGAAAAATGATAAACAACAACGCCACAGGTGTGTACTTAAATATAATTAGTTACCAAAGGATATATGGAAAAACAAAACAAACGGCAAAAAAAAACCAAAAAAACAAATGACAATTTTATTCAAACATAATGTGAATGAATAAATGAAAATTTAAATACGCTATATAAGATGCAATGGACCGTCAACCTAATCATCTAACTTCAGCTATCAGTCCATTTCCTTGTTGGGGCTCTATTTTTAGAGTATAATCTGTTATTGATTGGACTACTACTGTTCTCTTTCTTCTTCCTCTCTTCTCATGATCATGATGATGATGATGATGATTGAGACAAAACAAAAAAAAAGAGGAAGAACGCATAATTTGAAACAAAAAGAAAAAAAACTATGCTTAGCGTTAATTACACGATCAAAATTATATAATCAAACAACAACAGTTATCATATAATAATATTAGAGCTAGCATAAATTGTTAGAATTAAAAAAAAGAGTAAAATATTAACAGTATCTAGTCTGTTATAAATGGATTGATGATTGAATTTGTGTTGACAAAATTTTTCCTATGAACAAAGTATAAAAACACCTTTCGAATGCTATACATTTTTATTATTCAAACGAATTTAATTTATTTTGTTGATGAACATCAAAATTGTTTTTTTTTCACCGTTCCATAGTTGTTTTGGTGAAATAGTTTTTAAATCTGTTTTATTATTAATTGTTTCAAACGAACAAAAAACAACGATAACTGTAACAACCAAAAATAACCTCAAAATAATAATAAAAAAAATGTTCAAATGTTGTAACAGAATGGCCATTATTGGTTGTTGTATTGTAATGTACATCACTTTATCAATAATGATCATCACAATTACAGAAGCCGGTGACAAAAAAGGTGGCGATCTATTCATTATTGGCGGTAAATCCGGTTGTGGTCCAGCATTATTATATAAATCTAATGGTAAAAAAGGTGGCAAAAAAGGTGGTGGCGAAATGATCATCATAAATAATTGTGAAAGCCATAGCGAACCATCATATAGTTATGTACCATATCCAATGTATTCACATGGTGGTGGATATTCACATGGTGGTGGATATTCTCATGGTGGTGGCGGTGGTGGTGGTGGTGGTAGCTATTATCATCGACGCCGATGATGATAGCCATAATAATGAAAAAAAAAATAAATAAATCCTTAATTGGTACCAATCAACATTACTTTATCATCATCATCATCAATATTTTAATCATAATCATCAAATAATCGTTGACGAAGAAAAAAATTCATCTTTAATGTGTTCTCGTTATTATATATTTTGCCTCGTATATATACACAACACAACAACAATATTTGATCATCATTCAAAATCATCGTTCATTCAGAAAAAAAAAATATTTCTTCATAACATTTTCCAATCTTTTTTTTTGTTATTCATAAATTGATTACATTACCAACACAAACGGACACATATACACACCTATAAATTTTCAGCATCATCATCATTTTATTATTGATAAACTTTTTTTTTGTTACATTTTTTTTTTGATTGAAATGAAAATTTTAATAATAATAATAATAATAATAAACACCCTTTGATATCATAAATTCAATAATCATTTTGATCGATTACTGTGATGACGTTTTATTGCGGTGTGTGTGTGTGTGTAGCGTAATTTACTCACACACACACACACACACACACACACAAGTTAAATAACATTGATGAGAAAAGAAAAAAAAATTGCCCGATCCATTTGGAATGACAACAGATGCGCAAAGACCAATCGATTCACGTTGTCTTTCATTCATTGTTGCAGATATGGCCAAACCATCATCATCAGCATAAGCATCGTGTATACAAAGACAAGACCTGAATCGAAATAAAAAAAAAAGAAGATGAGATCGATCAAATCGTCTTCGAGTTGACGAGGTCGACACATATGGTCATACAAACATACATACACATAAAATCAAATGAAAAGGTTACATGCAGGAAAAATTTTTTCAGTTAATGTTGGATGCCAGGCCCATTTTGTACCAAAAAAAAAAACAATCGATCTTTGTCGCAACGGATGACATAGTACGTATATGATCAAAGGGTTCTTTTTTTTCTCTAAAATTTCTCGTTTCAATGTCATTCAATCGTCACTGGCATCATCATCTACTACTGTTGCAATTATTGATCAACTTTGACACTAATTTACTTCGCACAAGTTGTCACATTGAATTTTAACAACAACAAAAAAAAACGGAACACACACATGCATAACAACAGAAAAAACCTCCGAAACTATAGTCGACATTGATGGACGAGATGAGCATGATTATTATTATTATTATGATGATGATGATGTACGGATCTTTGAACGCCACCGAATAGATCATCATTAAAGCATGGATTTTGAATACGAATAAAAGAAAATTTTATTTTTTGCCATTATAACAAACATATAACAAAGCAACTCAAAGGAATAAAAGGATGAATAGATGAACGGGATGTGAATCTGTCATTTTATTCAAAAAAAAAAAAAAAAAAATCTAAACTCGTTCAATTTGAAATGACAAACTTTTACTTTCAATAAAAAATGTGAAAAAAAAAATAAATCCCAGTGAGATAAAGAAATTTTGATTACAGATTTAAAAATATAACAACAACAAAGAAAAAAATGATCAAATATATTTAGATTAAGAGAGAGAGATAGAGAGGATATGTTTGCGTTGATCGATTTGATTATTGATGATTGGCTGCAATTAGTTGTATCCGTATTTTGACCCATCAAATCATATTTTTTTTATTCTACATTTTACCCAAAATTGATCGCCGTTTACGTCTATAAACACCAGGATCAGCATGTCCACCACCATATCCACCTCCAATACCATAAGGTACCGGAATATAATGTGTATCTTCATGTTTACAATCACCACCTATGATCAATATATCGCCTTTTTTTCGATGACCAGTTTTGAGAAAAATATGTCCACAACCATGGCCACCATGGCCACCTTTAAGAATCAATATATCACCACCTTTACGGCTTGCATCAACGATGGTTAACATGTTGAAAAATGTTGAAAAGCCAAAACACAACACTAATAATATTATAATCTGTCTCATCATAATCATAATGTTGATGATGATGATGATAGTTTCACAATAATGGAATTTCAAACACCAAATTATAAAATCTACACCGTTCACATTAATTTCGTTGTGTTATCTAAAATGAATCAATCACAACAAATGTGCACCATAACTTATATAGCTTCAAAACGAAACGAAAATAACATTCCATGCTCTGAGAGAATTCAAAACATTCGATAAATGTCTGTTATCGTCAATATGATTATTGTTCGAATTCGAATTTCTTCAAATCAAAAAAAAAAAAAAAAAAAGATATCAAAAGTTATCAAAGAGAAAATCAATAAAATTAACAATGAATATTTTTTCCAATCACTCAATTCATGCTTGACGAAGTTTTTTTCGCATTTGATCATTTTGGATCATCGATTGTCAAAAAATGTCCTCGTACCAAATGGCGCCTATTCTTTATTAAATTTGAAATCGAATAAAGTCATCACCATCATCATCATCATCAACAACAACAACATCGACATTGTGAAATGAATTTGATTATTTCCTGGATCAAAAGACAAAAAATCAAAAAAATTTTTTTTTTTTTTTTTCGAAAACGATTTTGGATCGATCGAAATGTTTGAAAATTGTTTGTCACACGTGTACCACCACAACCAGGATATGAATCATTGAATATTGTTTTTTAATTTCTTGTTTTACTTTAATAAAATATTAATATAATGCATAGATAATGTTCATGGTTGAAAGTGCACAAATGATATTACGTAATTGATTTTGATGTTTTTCAGTTGTCAAATAAGAAAAAGAAAACTATTTATTTTCCCATTGAGAACCCTGTAATTTGTTGCTACTGGTATGTTGTCGTTGTCAGAGTTTGTTTGTCGTTTGATCTCTAAAAAAAAAGACAAAATGTTTCGTCGAAAAAAAGAGGAAGATATGGTTGATATAACCATTTCATTGTTCTATTGGCTGACAATTTTCCTGATCCTCGTCGCTATTTTGTTTTTTCACTTCACGATCATCATCATCATCATTATCTTTGTTGCATTTTTCATCAACTTCACAGCTATTTGGCTCAATCAAATCTGGCTTATCATCGTCAACTGTTAATAGCTGTGATTCAACTGGTTCTTGGCATACTCGTTTATGAACTGGCCAATGTAATCGTTGACAACGTTCATCGCAATATGTAGCTCGTTTACATTTTGAACATCGTTTGTTTGGATCAAATTCAGAACATGTAAAACAGGTATCGTTTTCTTCGATACCGATTGATTTGCCTAATATGGTCTGACTTAGAATAGATAATGCGCTTGGTTCTTCACCAATTTCAATTGTAGACAATGTACGGACTAGTTGTTGAAACAATGCGTTCTCCTGATATGTATAGGAACGAATGGCTTGTCGTAACAGTCGTTCCATATTTTCTGGAAAATTTTTAGCATTTGGTTTGAGCCAAAATTTTATGATATTATGAAATACTTTGCGAATTTCTTTCGAATCAAGTTCATTTTCTGTTGATGATTTTGCTTTTTGTAAGGCATTATTCAATAGATTGAATAGAAAATTCAGATAATGAACTTTTAGGGATAACATTTCGTTCGGTTCGTTTGATCGAAACAATTTCTCATATATATGATCCATTACAATGTTGATCTTTTTCACTTCTTCAAATAACGATAGATTTGATTCATAAAAATAGGCAATTCGTACAGGATTTACAGCAACCAAACAAACTAACGAATGCATTGTTGATATGAACCGTATTGGGAGTCTAGGCTCTTTTTCTTGGCCATTGATTCTACTGTAATATTCGATATATTCACGAGGAATAAAATTATTTATAACCGATACTGATTGATGCTGACCAACAAATGCAGCCATTTGTGATGCATTACGACCAACAGTATTTTTCTGTTCAGTATCTGCTCCATTTTCAAGTAACAAATTAATAACTGCTTTATGACCACCAAGTGCAGCAAACATCAAAGACGTATATCGATGTTCATGATCATTTTGATTAACATCGGCACCACGTTCAATCAGATATTTGGCAATTTCTAGATTACCTCTATAGCAGGCATGCTGTAATGGACTCATACCATTCTCATCTTTACAATTGATGTTGATTGTTGATCCACCACGACTTATAAAATTAACCACTTTATCCAATGAATTTGAAGAAACAGCTTGAATTAAATGTGATTCATTTTCGGACAATGATGATGGCGTTGGGGATGAGGACATTTTCGCCATTATTTGTTAATATCAAATAAACGATGATGATAATAATTCAATAACCAGTATATTGAATCTAAAACTAAAAATTAATTTTAGCTAAAAATGATCAATCCATATCAATGTTGTCAATATTATCGAGTTGTCAAGAGTTTATTTTCAGCTGAGGGACAACAAAATATTGACGCACAAGCGCAGATCAAACATTCAAAGATTTTGCTTGTATGCATGTATGACCATCATCATCATTCAGAAATTAATTGGAAAAAACAATCGCCTGTAAACTGATGATCCATGATCGTTAAAAAAACCAATTTAGGTTGGAAAAAAAGGCCTTTGAAAACAAAACATAAAATAGAAAACAAAACAAAACAAAACAAAAAGTTGGAAGTTCATAAGGAAGATATTTTTATTGATTGAATTTAGTTCTTCATACACAACATAATCCAAGATCGAACAATAAATTAATTAGTCCATTGATAATTTCCGATTAAACAAGTCTATATTTTTTTTGTTGTAATAATAAAAAATAATATATACTATATATATACAAAAATACAATACTTTTTTTCCATTTGATGAAATAAACAATCGATTAATTAATTTTGAAGCAAAATCATTTTCACCATTTTAAATGTGCAGATATAAACGATACCACCACAACAAAAAAAAAAAAAACAAACAAAACGAAGCGTTGAATTGAATCAATTAATTAATAAAATATTGTAATTGTAATCAATAATAATAATAATGACAAAATAAAATAAAAAAAATCATTGATTCGATCGATATTCAAAATATTGTTGCTAAGGAATTATTTTCAAAGTAATAAAAAGAAAAAAAATCCATATGAAATAAACATATCGCGTATACACAATTTTAGAGAAAAAAAAATGAAAAATAATGTCCTGTGTGAAAAATTTTAGTTTAAAATTTCAAAATGCAAAATAATTAGCAAAAAAAAAATAAGGACATATTTTGCATCGTTGAAATGAATTTATGAACAAATGTATAACCAGTGAATATATATCGACAAAAATTTCCATTCGATTTCCAGATGATTATGATTGTTGAATATTTACAAAAAAAAACGAACCAAAAAAAAAAATTTTCAAATAATAAACTTGATGCAATATTCATAAATCGAGATCGATGATATTTTCATTTTTGTTCAGTTATATTTAGCAATTTGATTGTTGTACTTTGATGTAGTGTTTATGTTGATCGTGAAAAATATTTTTCAATCTCCGGAACACATTTGATGAAATTATGTTCCAATAATTTGTAATTAGGATTACGAAATAATTCATTAATCAAATATTCGATTCCCCATGGATGTGGTCGTTGAGTGATGTAACGTTCAAGTAATACTCGAACAATTTGTTCACGAATATGTTCATTATTTTCTTTGAACAATGTTAAAAGTAGACATATAAATAAAAGAGTTTCATTGTTGGGATAACGTAGATGATCAACCATCGAATTGATTAGTATATATCGACCTTTTTATAGAAGCAAATGTGAGAAGAATTTCAATAAATTAAAAATTTAATTATTACCTTGAGAATCAAAGTTCATCAACAAGTGTTGGAAAATTTCGAGATGAACCGAATTATGAATTGAATTAATAGTCACTGATTTGTTGGTCTGAATGGCCGATATGCCAATATATAGCGTTAAAGCATTAATCAGTGTAGTGAAACTGGATTGCTTCTCGGCATTCAATAGATTTGCGCTTAAAGCCTGAGCTAAATCAGTGAGAAAATTGCTGGGAGTACGATGAAGCAGATAGCTTTCCAATTCTTTTTGAAAATATTGTAACTGATCGCACAGAATAGTGCTTGAAATTCGAACAGGTGGTATAATTTCATAAAGATTGTCCACTTTGAGATTTGAAACATCAGGTATATTGATTGGATTAGCACTCAGAATAATGTTTCTAAGTTGCACAGCTCGAATAGGAATGATGTCACACAAATTATAACAATATTCACATAAAAATTCAGGAAAATCATGAAACAAAATTAGAAACAATTTCAATGTACCCTGAATAATAATGAAAAAAAAAATTAATTTAACAATTTTTGAATAAAAAAAATGTTTACCTTGTAAAGTTCCATGTTTGTATTTACTATGAATGAATCCATATTCTGCAAGATTGGCTTCAAGAAAAGTAAGAGGTCAGTCAATAGAGCACAATAGATGGGCCATGTTTTGTGATTAATTTGATGACTGTTATCTAAACACTTTCCCATGAAAATTCGATGTGAAATAAAATCTAGCCATGCAAACGTAAATGATGGCATTTTTGATGGACACATTTGATGCAAAAAATTACAATAATTTCGAACCAGGTGAAACTTGAAAACTTCGAATAGATTGTCATTACTGACAATTAATTCCTGAAAGCCAAAATTCAATGGCGAATAGAAAAATTCGATAAAAATCGATAGCATTATTCGGTAGTATGTCAATGAAAAAAAATCTTTATGATGAATTTCCTGATCACGGTAAGCTGTGTTTGTCAATATGGTCAAGATACGGATTAGAAATTGAAATTTTTGATCCAAATTTCCTTGGTTGCCACTTTGTTTTATGAACAATATGACCAATACAGAATACGAATCAATCAATTCATAGCATTTAAGATGGATATTATTCAATGGAAATGTTGGATGTTGCACAGCGTATGAAATAATTTGATAGCATCGTTCGACACAGAATTCGAGAAAAAATTTAAAAAAATTTGCAATCGATTCATCGTTTTTGAGAATGCCCTATACAACAAGAAAAAAAAGATATTTATTTCATATTCAAGTCAAAGAATAAAATCTGTTTTACCTGTGCATTCATATTCTTCACAACAACAGGGAAAGAATTGTTAATATCTTTAGAATTGTAATATCGTATCCAATCCTTTACGATTGTTTCGAGAGCTGAACCATCCATCATTTCATTATTCGATTGATTAGGTATATTGATTCGTGCCAATGAAAGAATATGTTTTAGTTCTATGATTAACTGAGTATTGGTAGGACTCTGTTGATTCATTTTCATTGCGACGATTCGTTGTAATAAATCCAATGTTGTAGGAAAATGATTTGCACTAATGTTGCCTAGATAATATTTGAGGAAATTCAAAATCATCGGAAAACTGGTGGAACCATTTTCTAGTATCTGATAGAATTCATTGTCGAGAAAATTGAGGTTGATCAATTCTTGACGATTAAGAATGTCAAAAAGATCATCCGGAAACGTGGTATTCATTGCTATCCAATGTTCAAGAACAGAACGGGTTACATTCAATGTTGTGAAACGAAGATTATAAGCTCGTTGATCGGCAAGAGCTTTCAAAAGTATGAGGTAAAAATCTCGTGCACGGGATATGACAGCCAAATCGGTGACACCAGTTTCAGCATTCAACAACAATTCTCTGAGACCATTAATGACATTCTTGATCAAACTGACAGCCGTTGCTTGATCACGAGGATTTTGCTTGCAAACTTTCAGAATTTCCAATACCTGATGCATTGCTTCTGTTGTGTAATGGACATATTCAAATTCTTGAATCAATTCACTCAGATGTTTGATTAATTTATCATAAATAACAACAAAAGCATCTACATGAACTTGATTTCCCTGAACGTTCATGGCATTATGTTCATTATGGACCAACGGATAGTTGTGTGAGGAGGCGGACAAAACGTTGACACTCGGATAATTGGCAGTTTTAGCTGGTGTGTTATCCATTGGCGTATAGAATGATGATTGATTTGTACTAAAACCGGCAATATTTCGTCCCATTTCTTCATAAATTTGCAATTGTTTTAGACTTATGGATGAACTTTTCTTATTACCATCTGCTGTGATTTTCTGTCGTGCTTCAAAATCTGGTTTCATTCGTTTATCTAATTCTTCGATGGCTCGTTCGATGCATGTTTTCTGAACAAAACACACGCACAATTCCAAATTATCGTTTATCAGTCTTTGAATGGTCGAATCAATCAATTCTTTAGTCACGTTCATCATTGGTTTAGCCTGAAAATAGGTAAGCAATGACATTTGTATTCGATTAAGCAACGGTTCTTGAGTGTTGATCAATGAATATCCTGCAACTAGTGAACGCATCATTTTATGGGCTGCATTACGCATTAACTCAGCATTAGATTCATGGACAAAATCTTTCTTGACCAATGTTTCGGTGGTGACCATACAAACTTTGATCACTCGTTCCGAGACAAAAGTAATCCATTCTTGTACACATTTTTCGATTAAATTACGAATAAAATTCTTATGTTGTGGGTTCAACATGATAATCTGCAAATTCGGTTGGATAACAATCGACTGAGAAAGATTCGATATATTGTTCACGTTGATTTCATTATAATTTTGCACCTGATTTGTTGTAGCAGTTACTGTGTTTGAAACAGCTGTTTGTGGATGCATCGAATTACTATCAACCGTTGAATGTGATGAATGTAACATTCCAGAGATAGCAACATTTGGTTCTAAAACTGATCCAATGTTATTTGGGACGAAATTAGGTCGAGGCATAGAGCTAGCTCCAAGTTGTGGTTCCAGTTTCATGAATAATTCTTTATTTTTTAAATCTTGAGATTTACCCATAAAATCCTCTATTTTCAATTCAAGATGTTTGCATAAAACTTCCACTTCAAACTTGAGATTTAATTTCAAATTAGAAACGCTGTGCAATTCGACTAAAATTTTGATCAACTTGACTGTCCATGGACATGGTGGACGAAATACTTTGGATTTAGCTGAACCCATCAATATTTTGGTGACAAACGGTACTACAAATAACATTTGTAGTTGACCTTTATGATAGGCTTCAATCAACAAATTTCTCAAATCTAAATTTATTGTGAGAATCGGCTTATTTTGAGATAACGTAATTATGCCCAACCAATTGCCAAGATTTTTCAACAAAGTTCGATCCTGAAAATTGTCAGTTTCTTTGTTTGAGCGGAGCAGGATTTTGATGTTACGATAAGTCTCAGATAGGATTTTCACTGAAAGATCACTAGTGCTCACTTTGACCATAAATGTTGCATATAATTCATGATAATTTGATTCTAAGCCAACACGTTTCATGACAAAATAATGCGAAAACCATTGAAAGTATTGATCTTTTTCTTTAAGAAACAATTCTTTAAATTCATCAGCTTTCTTGACAAGATTCATTTGAGATAGATTATTAATAATGAATGCAACTTTGTCCTGGAAAGCGCTTGGTGGAATTTCGACTTGTTGACATTGAGCATCATTTGATGCTTGATTGTTTCCTGCGTTCATTTTATTGTTGCTATTTAAAAGTGTAATACGACGATTATGAGTTAGCGACGGCGGATCTGTACCCTGTCTAGCGTACTCGATGAATTCGATCAAAATAGGCGGCAAATCACGATAAGTAGGGATGTTACAAAGATGATTGCAGAATTGTGGAAATTCTTTTAGACGAGTTTTCAGCTTATTCAATGCAGCTTGTCCAAACATAAAATAACGAGATGATGATTCCGTACGTTTGAGTGCGTCCATTACGCATCGCAATGCATTGACCATAGTAAGACCTTTGACCAAATTATTCAAAATAATACCGCCGAATATTTCTCCTGTGATGACAAGTTCTTTGTCTGGATATTGTGGCAAAAACGGATATTCTTTGAAAAGATTTCTGATCATACAAGCAGCAATTTCTTTCTCTCTTTTATGGGACGATTCTTGAAATTTTTTCAACATGTCAAGAAATTGATCGATAGTCAATGAATCTGGCTGATCTTGATTATAGATTCGTTGAAAGTAAGAATCGGCTTCTTCCTCAATGTCTTTAGTAAATTCTTCTTCAGTTTCTGGACTATAAGGCTGTTGAGTAGCGTTTAGCTGAGGACTACGGATAGGATTCTCTGGAAACAAATGAGATCCGACTGAATCAAACTGGCTAGGTTTCATAGTTGTCGGTAGCTGTGAGTTTACGAATTGGTTTTGATTCACCCATTGAGTGAATTTGTTATACATTTTTATTATCTCAAATTCTATCATTGATTTTGGAGTATCAGAAACATGATGTCGAAGACAATTCAATATAATTCGATACGTTTCGTTTGGAAGTGATGTTGTCGGTTCTGTTGCTCCAAATATAGCGCATCGTTTTTTGAGAAATTGTATACATGCATCTACAAATTGAGGGCCATTCTGTGTAATTTTATCGTTGAGCCATTTGTCAAGCTTAAGGTATTCACGTCGGGATGCAAAACAAGCAAGATCAATCACAAATGAATACGTATTGCTTGATAGTAAAACATTTAAAACTTTTAAATCTTGAGAAAGATCAAGAATTTTCGAAAGCTTATATGATTGTTCTTCGGGTGATGAAGATGTATAAAGCTCAACCATTGCTGTTAGCAATGATTTTTGAGCCCATGTCAATATGATTTTAGGAGTATAGACAAAATCAGTAGGCCAAATTTTTTGTATGATTAGTGTTGCATTCGGATTCGGATTATTGTGACTGACACAGATGAATTTCAATAAAGCTTTGATGAGTACATTTTCTTTTAAGCCATGATTACCGTGACATTCAATCAAGGAAAATACCAGCAGATCTGGACATTTGTTTAATGGCGTGAAAAATATCTCTTCCACAAATGAACGAGTCAATTGATTGATATCAGAAAGATCTAGCAATATCTGACATAAACACTGATATTTCCAACAATAAATCTGACAGTCAGTCTCATATTCAATTGGACATTTTAGATTTTCGATTTGAGGCACTTTCTTGGTCAGAGAAGGATGCTTGCAATTGTTTAATATCTGTTGCACCCAATCTGAAACGATACAATATCTTATGACTTGCTGTTGAAAATGAGCATTGCTTTTCCAGACTTTTGAAAAAAACGTTATGCCAAGTATGTCCAATCCTTTGATCATTAGAAAAAAAATTAAAATAAACGAATGATTAAATAAATCTAAAACAGTAATTTAAGCATACCTTGTTTGTCCGATGAGCACAGATATCGACAAACGAAAAGAAATTTATTAAAGTCAAATTGTTGAAGCATGGATATTTTTTTAGAGAATTCTGTTGAGTCTAACGTTCGAAGAATTTCAGTGAGAGGTGATTCACATATTAAATTTTCTACAACATTGTTAGCGAATTTGATCAACATCTCTTCCGTACAATTAGTCTTTGAATCACATAGTTTGATTAGACAAGTGGCTATAAATGTTGGTGCAACACCTGAATGTCTTATTGATTCAATAAAGTATGTGGCATCTTCAGACGACGATGTTGTCCCTGCCGTCGTCATAACGGCATTATCCGTTTTGACGAATTCCATGTCGAAATTCATCGATTAAATGGCAAAAAAAAACAAATTCCAATTAATGATGTATCATTTATCAATGTTTATAAGATGGGCGGTGATTGATGATATGAATATATCATTAGAAATAATAACTAAAAAAAAATTGTCATAAAAAATTGTAATTTAGCAAACAAAATAATTAAATGATGATGATGATCAAGACAAGGTAATCATATTATATTGAAACAATTCGACAAAGGATCAAAAAAAGACGAACAGAATATATATCATTAATGTTGAACATGATAATTTTGTAGATGATGACTGTTCATAATTTAACCAATCAATACTGTCAGGTTGATTTTTTTAACCACCACCACCACCATACACACATCAACAATGACCATGATGTGACGGTTAGTGGGTAAATAATGAGCCAGAAATGATGAAACAAAAAGTGATAATTTTTTTTTAATTTGTCCACAATTTATTGGTAGAAACGACGAAAAAAAACTAATCAGTGTAATAAATGTTGATGAATTCACTGATCTATGTGTTGGAATTCATTTGGATGGATGGATGGATGTTCTTTAAGATGAAATTCAGGCAAAAAAATCAATGTAAATGATAATAATAATAATAATGATGATGATGATTAAATGAATATAAAATGAATAATAAAATGAAGCAAATTTCGGATCAGGCGTTTTGTGTTATCTAACTGTTTGTAATTTTTACATTTTATAAATTTGGAAATTTTATCATCATCATTTTTTTTTTTAATTCTTCATCAACACTTTTTCTTTGTCTTTTTTTTTCTCTCCATATGAAAGACACACCGAACACATTTATATACAATATAAATATATATATAATAAATACATAGAAAGTACTCGATTTTTTTTTATTTTTCATAGGTTTAGGTTGACTTGGTGTGTGTGTGTGTTTGTGCCAATATTATTAGCAACGCCATACATACATCACACAAGAATACAAATAGACACACACACAACTCATCATATTAACCACTTAGAAGCTTGTATGTATGCATGAAAGAGAGTAGCATAATATCACACACACACACACACACACACACACACTTTTTTTGATGCTGTTTTGCCATACATATACTTAATGACGGGAAATTTCCCATTATTTTTTCTTTCATATATTTCTTCTTCTTTTTTTTTTTGACTTTAACATTTTCAACCAATGTGTTTCAATCAATTCAAAATATTATCATTGATTATTTTATAAATCAAATGAGAATCAACCAATTGAAATCGAATCGATCATCAACGTGATTTTTCGTTGTTGTTTTTTTATATATCAAATCCATTCTGGATTAATAAATTACACAAGTAACACCATCTTTTGTACGGGAAAAAATGAATTGATTTTTTTTGTTGTTGTTGTTGCAAAATTGAAAAAGAAAATTGGATGGCAGCATTCGTGACGACGATGATGATGATGATGAATCAAACGGAGTTCTTATTTTGATTCATTTAATCTGTATTTAAAATTGACAACGACGATGGTAAATGGAATGTTTGAAATTTTCGAAAAATAACCAAAACAATTTATTATCCAATAAAAATAAATTAGAATTATATCTATCTATGATTAAATTAGTTTAAATCAGTAAAATTCATAATTATTTCCGTAACCGGATTGAATAAACAATTCAAATTATAAATTAGCCACCAATTGCTCCATCTCGAGACATGTGACATTGTATATTTCGTTTTTCTATGTGACGGATATATATCATTTAACAATAATTAACCAACATTTTTTTCATGTATCTTCTTTCCCTTCTTCTTTCCACTCAAAAAAAAAAAAAAATCACAGGAATGTTGTAATCACACACACACACACATTAACATACGAAACAAGACGGCATATATGAAATGAATAAAATTAACAATATCATCATCATTTGAATATTGGGTGGTTGAGATGATTGTCGTCAATGTGCTGCTCTGGTGGCTCTGCTTTAACTATATCGACTAATGGCTGATTTATTTTTCTAACTTTAATCTTTGTTGTGTTATTAAACATTATTTTTTTTATTATTATTATTGCCATTAGAATCTACGCTTACAAATTACATTTATTCTAAAAAAAATAATTCATTCATTTCTTACAAATAGGAAATTCGTCGAATTTGAATAAATGACTATAAATTAATTCGATTTAGATTTTGGATTTTGATGTTTTATATATTAAAAAAATTATGAATGCCAATGTCATCACACAAAATGGTCCAGATTCCGGCGACATTCAATATGAATCACTATGTATACTACATTTTAATGATTGTTATAATGTTGAACCTTGTGATAAAGAACCTGTTGGTGGTGCAGCCCGTTTTGTCAACGCATTACATCAATTCGATCATCTTGATCCATTGATATTATTTAGTGGTGATATTATTGCTCCAAGTATCAGTATGTATTTTTTTTTTTTTAATATTTTATCTCATAATTTATAATGAATTTCAATTTTTGCACACAGTGAGCTCATTTACTAAAGGTGAACAAATGTTACCAGTTTTGGAACGATGCAATGTTCATTGTGCTTTATTCGGCAATCATGAATTCGGTTCGGATTTTTTTTCTTATTCTTTTCGAAATGAATTTACTAATAATAACGCTATGAATTTAATAGATTTTGGTCTCGATTGTCTATTGGCGTTTGTTGCACGAACAAATTTTCCATGGTTAATGAGTAATGTGATCGATAAGAATACTGGTTTACCACTTGGTGGTGGAAAAATTACTCACATTATTGAAAAAGGAGATCTGAAAGTAAATGGAAATTTGTAACTGTAGACTTTTTAAAATTAAAATGTTTTATTTCCCTACTTAATGCTAGATTGGACTTATAGGATTAATCGAAGAAGAATGGCTATCAACACTCGTGCTAGACGAAGATGATATCAAATATACGGATTTTGTTCCCGAAGGTCGTCGATTAGCCAAAACTCTTAAGGAAGAGGTATGATACTTTTTGTAAACAAAAATTCTTATTTTCATTGAATTAAAATTTTGTTTCAGAATGGTGTTCATTTTGTGATTGCATTGACACATATGAGAACTCATAACGATATACGTTTAGCTGAACAGGTTGAAGAAGTCGACCTAATACTTGGTGGACACGATCATGTTTACGAAATTCGCAAAGTCAATGGAAAATTAGTAATTAAAAGTGGTACAGATTTTCGACAATTCAGCAAATTAACTCTGGTTTATGATCATGGAAACCATAAAATTCGTGATATTCAAGTTGATGAGATAAACATCACGTCAGATATCGGTGAAGATCCGTATCTAATTGCCGAGTTGAATAAATTCAAAACTGTCCTTGAGGAAAAAATGGAAAACACTGTTGCAATACTTGACTGTGATCTTGATGGTCGATTTTCCAGTGTACGAACCAAAGAAACAAACCTAGGAAATTTAATAACCGATGTGATGCTTTACGCTGTGCCTGATGCAGATTTTGCATTACTCAATTCTGGAACATTACGAAGTGATCGAATCCATCCTAAAGGAGCATTAAAAATGCGTGATCTGGTCAACATTTTACCATATATGGAATCCTTATTGGTTATAAATATTGATGGACGTCAAACATATCGAGCTTTAGAAAATGGCGTTTCTCAATTTCCTAAATTCGAAGGTCGTTTTCCTCAAGTGTCTGGTATAAGCTTTAAATTTGATCCATCAAAACCATCTGGATCTCGTGTTGATATCAACAGTATAATGATACAAGGAGAGCCACTTGTTGAAGATAAAATATATAAAATGGTAACCAAAGAATTTATTGTACAAGGCAAAGATGGATATGAAGTATTGAAAGAATGTTCAATATATAAAAATACTGAACAATGTTTGACACTACTTCAAGCTGTCAATGAATATCTAGAAACATATAAATTAATACAAGCATTGAATGATAATTCAATCATTTCGAATGGAAAGAAAAATTCTATTCGCCGTAATTCATTGAAAATAATCCTGCCACAAGCTGCTGCCAATCTAAAAAATTCTAATGACTATGTTTGCCATTTAAATCCTCAGATGGAAAACAGAATTATTATCTAAAATGATTATCATCTCAATCTCAATTATATTCATTTGTTGTTATAAATTACAAATTTTTTTTTTTTTTTGAGAAAATTAATTTTTTTTTGATGATACAATGATCACAATGAACTGACTTTATTTGCAACCAACAATGGAATGGCTTTCAGTTCGGATTGAAGACAAACATATTCACCAGATATACACATGATGGTTATACAAATAATGTTTAATAGCCACCAAGAAAATGATGATGGTATTTGACCATTATAAAATCGAACCATAATAAGATGAATGATGAATAAAGTCAGTGTAAAATCTAGACATTTTTTTGCTCGTCGAACGATGAAATGTAAAATTAGGGCCCTATAAAATTCAAATACAAATAAAAATGTATGATCAAATTAAAATGCAAAATATTTGACATACCCGAAAAAAGAATTTAAAATAAAAGAAATTGTTATGACTAGACCCAGTGAAGTTTTAAAGCTTACAATCTGTGAATTGAATATTTGATCTAATGTAGGATAATATCCAAAAAGATTTGCAATAAAGAATAGGATGAATCCAAGACTTAGATAAAATGTAGTCTGTATGGCAACAATCTGTGTAGAAATCAATATCGGATCCCAACGGGAATAGCTAAAATGACCCGACATTTCGATCGAAAATTCGTAACAATTTCATTATTTTTAATGAATAAAATAAAAAACTGAATATGAATACGAGAAAATCGTAAAATGGTTGTCTTATAAAAAAAAATACGCAATCGTCATCAAGTAGCGCCCGCCCGTCTTTTGTGAATATACCATGTTTGTTTTGTGTTGATAAAGGTGAGAAAGAAAGTCACTCGATCGTCAGGCAAAGCATTTTTTAGACCAAATATCGGCTGTATTTTGAACATTCAACACCAATTCGTGAACCATAATTAGTCGATTAAAATGTCTTATGTATTGCGAATGTCACGTTTTAATCAAATTTTAACTATCCATCGAGCCCAAAAATGTATTGGTATGCTTCAGGCACAATCATTCCATAACCGTGAACTGATTGGCAAACGTGAAGTAGTCGGTTTTGGATTTAATGGATCATACATGTATTTTGATGCCGCTGCTATGCCATATCCGGCCATTCGATTCCGTGAAGAAACTGATGAGATGAAACGACTTCGTGAAAAAGAGAAGAATGATTGGAAACAATTGTCTTTGGAAGAGAAAAAGAAACGTAAGTGATTGAACAATATTCAATCTTTTTCGATATGATACTAATCTGTGTTGGTAGTCTATCGACACAGTTTTTGTCTTACATTATCCGAAGTTGAAGCTCCAACTGGCGAATGGAAAATTCAATTGGCAATCGTTTTTTTTACGATATCACTTGCACTTTACTACTTTGCATTCGCTCGTAAAAACTGTAAGTTATAATTAATGATTTCATTTTTATTCATTTTAAAATAAAATGACTATATTCATTAGTTTATGGACCTCTGCCCGAAACGATGACACCCGAAGGCAAACAACGTACCCGTGATTTGGAAATCCTTTACAAGACCAATCCAATTTTTGGTTTGGCTTCGAAATTCGATTATGAAAAAGGTGATTGGAAATGAGCAAAAACATTTTGATAGGATATGCAAAACAGTAGCAAACAGCAAAAATATTGTAATTTTTCATTTTCGTTTTGATTATTGAATAAAAATTAACAAATAAAATAAAATAAGAAATCATGTCCATTGTTTAATGTTTAGTTTACCAAGACAAACACATCCACAACCGGATGGACATTCTTCATGTTTTTGAAACCAGTCATTCATATGATTAGTATGGCCACCGTGGCCACATTTCATACAATGATTGGTGGCACCTTTTACAGGTAAACGGCATATTGTACAGATTAATGATATTCGATTACAGTGGCTACAAATGTAATTGGAGCAAAGTTTTTGCCTATCCTTACAGGATTGAGTAAAACATTCATTAACAAATGAAACTATATGTGATTGATCATCATATAACATTTTCGATTCGATAGTCTTCAAAAGTTGTGCGCGTTTTTTGATCAATTTCCATCGATACAGAATGTCGAGATAAATTTTTTTATAATAATCATATTCAAGTACTAATTTTGAATCAAATGTCCTACAGATTATAGTCGATTAAAAAAAAATTTTAAATAAAATAAAAATCGGTAAAAATAGATCTTGTATACTTACGTTTCAATACGTTCATTTAAATTAGATTCCTCATTACTGTCGGTGCTGGATTTATCACTTTTGTTTTGATTAATATTCATTTCTTGATTTGACGAACAACTACTTGTTCTTATACGATTTTTTCCTGTTACATCTCCTCGTGCATTGACTAAACACAAATGAAAATTGATTTAAATAAAATTAATTTTATAAAATTTTTCAAAATTACTTATGGCCCATTCGGTGTCCAGTTGATTGGACATTTCATCTTGGGTTGATAAATTGTAATTGATTCGGGGTTGATGTTTTCTCGGAACAAACGAAGGAACGTGTTCTTGCCAACTAAGTTTACATGAACTTATCACGCTTGAAATCATTGCAACTGTTTGAATATCATTACATTTCAATACATAATGTTCAATCCTTTATATATAAAAAAAAGTTAAATTAGCTCCGAAAAATTCCTCATTGAACTTACATAGATTGTATCATTTTTCCACCAAATGGATGTCTGGACCAATGTGAATTTAGCTCTTCAGAAGATATGAAACGATTTTTCAGATAAATCTCGGCGGACAATCGAACCAGATTCCATGTTTGTTGAAGATCACGACGGCCAGAAGTGGCGGCAATTTTCGCATTCATCTCACAAAAGCTTATTATGTTACCTCTCGGTGATGGTATCAGATATTGTTCGGCTAATTGTCGAGAAATCGGTAACAATTTCGTGACACTAAATACCATTACAGGACCACAGAGATTGACGGTCTTTTTTTCTTGATATTGATGAATTTTACGAAATGATCGATGTTTTTTTGATGAATCAATATAGAATGATGAGATTGATGGAATATTATCTTTAACACTCATATGATTTGAATTATAAGCTCGCACATGATTGTCCAGATAGGATGATAGCGCTGATAATGATCGCGGTGTATATTCTGTAGGTACATTCATCTGTTCCAGATGTGGTGGCCGTCCAAAACAGACAAGAATTTCCGATGAACAAAATCGTGCTCCGGATGTACGAGGAAATGGAACCGATGCATCCAAATAGCTAACATATTCATGAGAGGTAAGTATATCCAATACGGTAGGTTGAGGTTTAATGGTATTTACATTGTTCAGATTTAATGACGTTGATTCTTCGATAAGATGAACAAATTGCCGAAGACATTTTTCCAGACAATTACGGTTATGTTGCACAAGAAATGTAGCTGTCGATTGTAGATCAGTGAGAATTTCTTTTTTAGTTTTATCATCCAATGATTTGACCGTATGCGAATTTTGTATCGGTGTATCATTTAGAAATGAAAACACTGGTATTGTGTTGGGATAATTAATAGGAAAGAATATTCTCAATCGACATATGATTGATGATTTTAACGATGCTATACAAGTACGTTTATTAACATTAAGTTCTTCGATCATTAGATTAGGAATGTTCGAATTAAATAGAGAGAATTCCTGTTTCAAACTGAACACCTTATCGGATTTATCTTCAAAATTATCGAATTCACTTTTGTTTGATTCACATTTCTCCGACATTGGTGATGATAGATCACTAGATTTGCTTAGGTCAAGATTTGAAAATTTGGCAGATTGAGTATCGAAATCGGATGATATATCCTCTGTGTGATCATGTTGTTGATCTTCCGAAAGCGAATCATGAATGTTTGCGCACAAATTCTTTAGGATTAACTTTCCACATTCTAAAAGTATTATCGCGAGCCCATGTGATCAATTCATAATCATCTGAATCTATCATGTTCCAACCGAAATCAAGCACAACATCAAGATGTCCAGCAAATGAATGTACTGGCTGATCGAGTGAATTGATTTTCCACATCCAAAGTGAATTATTCTCACCGGTTCGTCGCATTTGTGGCACCAATGATGTCAACAATCCATTTCCAAATGGTGTATAACGAACTTTCCAAATGGGTAAACCTGTTGTCATGTGATATTCACTTTTTCCTTTGCTACAATTTGTTAAATCCCACAACTATGCAACAGAATAATCGAAAATTAATTACGATAATCCAGCCTAAAATTATATACTGACTTTGATACTTCCATCCTGAGAACAGGTCAAAAATTTATTCTCATAGAATGGACTCCAATCGATTCCGGTTATTTTCGCTAAATAAGTTGATACATAATGCAATGGCATGTTACTTTTCTGGTAAACAAAAAAATAATCGAGAATAAATAAATGAATATCGACTATAGTTAAATAGATTTGAATTGTTTTTTTTATGAAATTCACCCTTTTATCCCAGATTCGAACATCTCCTTCGTGACTAGTTGCCAGGATATTTTCGTTTATTTTTGACCATTTGATCTGAGATGCTCCCGAAATCGAATGCATCAGATATATGGGCTTCCTTGTTTCCCTGAGATCCCAGATATAAATGTAATTATCAAACGAGGAACTTGCCAAAATGGTCGGTTCTTTATAAGACCAATTCAGATCGGTAATCGTACGAGTATGGCCGCTTAGTGTATGCATCAACCAATTGCTTTCATCAATGTTGTAAATATTAATCGTTTGAGCATTGGTAATGGCCAACTGTTTTGGTTCAGGTGGACTGAACTCAGCATGTGTGGTGTCCCATTTAGTTTCTCGGTTGATGACCGAATCAATTTTGGCTAGATTATCCGTTCGGATGATCGAAATCGATCGTCGTGAAACGAGTGCACATTTTCCATTACCCGATGTTGCCAAACACATTGCATGTAAATCAGGATGAGAAATGGTAGTATTAGCTACTGACCAGCCAAGTACCATGATGAATGATTAATTTATAATCAACAGGTTAAAGAAATGACAAACTTGAAGAATTTTTCAAAAATCCATTTGAAAGATCCATGTGCATGAATCCAAATCTAAATAAAACAGAGTTGATACTCTTCATGATTCATAAACGACATAACAGGATTCAGTGATACCTCGGTTAAATGGTGATGTTTCTGTTTAATGATTTATCTTATTGAAACGAATTGTTGTCGTTAAGCGAGATACTACTGTATATTCATAAATGAAATTGTTTTATATACATAACAGAACCATGCTTGCAATACATGGCATGATCAAATGAATTCTCTGAGAAGAATCGACAACAACAACAACAACAAACAACAATCCTAATAATAATAATAATAACATCATCATCATTATTGCATCGTATAAAATATTGCACAAACAATGTGCACAAAATTTTCTACAAACAAGTGAGTTCAACCATATGCAGTTTCATATCATATATTTTCACAATATTTTTTGGAAATTTTTCATTCATTTCCGATTTATATTTGAATCAATTCATACAATCAATCTTTTATACCTTTGAAAGTGTTGATAGTTTTTATTTGAAATTCACCAACATTAATCAACAAATTTGATTCTGCATTATTTATCGTCTTGTAAATTGCCATCAACAACATGATGCATTCATTCATAGATTATATCCATTTAGATTAATATATGATGTTATGGTGGTACTGATCACATGAATTGATTTGGTTTCCTTCGTTCATAATAGTATTTCGTTTATTTTTGTTGTCGTTCGATTGATCATTGGTTGTTATTCTATATGAGCAATCGCAAAATGAAAATATCCTATTGGCGGATAGTTGACGACAAATATCGTTCTTTTGGTCGTATTTCCTGTGCATCATCATCATCATCATACACTATAGTGTATATTTGTCGTATTGTATTGTTAATATTATCAGTTGAATAGTTTTTTTTTCGTATATAATCAATATATAAAACACAGTTAGTGAATGTAAATAGTGCAAACCCGTAGAAGCTACCATCATTACGAAAAAAAAACAAATTTTTTTTTCTACATTCACATTCGTCGACAGATAGTTGAAGACATCAGTCACAAACATCTTCATTATCATTATCACCATCATCAACAACAACAACAATAATAATAATAATTATTGTCGCCTCTTGATTTGATATCGCATCGATGATTATTGCCGCCATATCATTATTGAAAACATGTCACAAGTTAAATTTCAACGTCAAATCGGTTTATTTAATGGCATTTGTTTTGTCGTTGGCACCATTATTGGTTCTGGTATATTCATTTCACCGAAAGGGGTTTTCCAATTTGCCGATTGTTCATATTTCAATGCCATAACTGTATGGATTATCTGTGGATTGTATTCAATGCTTGGCGCCCTTTGCTATTCAGAATTGGGTACCACCATTCTTCGATCTGGTGGTGATTATGCATACATAAAATCAGGATTTGGTTCAATGCTTTCATTCGTGTATTTATGGCTTAATGTGATAATATTGAAGCCAGCTGCTCAAGCCATCATATCGTTAACATTTGCCTATTATCTTATTGGAACATTTACTGCCACTAAAATTATGGACAACGATAACGATGATGATGGTTACATCAATAGCCAATGTAGGCTTGATTCATCCAATCAACAATTGGAAATATCTACACGAATCATTGCAGCTCTAACGATAAGTTAGTATTTCTGATGATGGTGGAGCCAATTTTTTTTTTTTTTTTCAAATTTGATGACAATCCCTCAATATCCATCCAATCTTTATTTTCATTCATTCATTCAATTTAGGTTTACTTGCCTTAATCAATTGTATCAACATAAAATGGGCAATTGGAATGCAAAACATATTCACTTATCTCAAAGTATTAGCATTGTCCGCAATCATTGTTTCCGGTATTGCCATCTATACATTCGGTATGTTAAGATTAATTATTGAAATATGAGAATGATGCTATTTTTTTTTTTGAATTATATAAATTTCCTTTTTCTTCCAATTATTTATCAAGATAAATTACAATTACAATCGATTACAGGCGGAAATAATAATACATTATCATCATCATTATATTCATCATCATCGATGGTAAATGATTTATGGGAAGAGGATGGAAAAAAATTCGATTCATCCAAATGTAATTCAATGTATTCGTTGGCCATTTATTCAGGATTATTTGCATTCGGTGGATGGTTTGTAATTGGTTTCATTTTCAATTTTCACATCATTGATTTATCATTTTATTTTTTTTTTCGAAAAAAACTAGGAATTATCTAAACATTGTCACCGATGAATTGGAAAATCCTTACAAGTATGTTATTAAAATTCAGTTTTTTGTTATCATCACATTTTTTTTTCTAAATATTCAAATAACAATCTCATTATCGAATGTAATTGGTGTATGTGTTGAAGAAATCTTCCTCAAGCAGCAATGGCTGGCATCCTTATCTCAACAGTGATTTATGTGCTTGCCAATTTTTCATATTTTCTCATATTAACACCGAATGAAATTCTTGCCCGTGACGCTATCGCCTTGGTAACGAATTTTTTTTTTCATTTACATTTTTATGAAAACATCCATCATTCTTATCACTCACGGTATTATTTTTTTTTGTATCATTAAATTATCTTGTTGAAAATATAATAGACATTTGGAAGGAAAATTATTGGTCCATTTGGAAATTCTTTGATTTCATTTTCAATTGCCATATCAACGCTTGGTAGCTTAAATGCCACCATATTCACAACGTCAAGGTTTGTTCATCAATGATCGATTTATTTTTTTTTTCTAAAATCAATTTATTCGATTCTATGGATAATGATTGATATTAGGTTATTCTGTATAGCAGCCCAAGAAAAGCATTTACCATCAATGATTGGAATGTTACATCATGAACGTTATACACCGATTATATCTTTGATATTTTCTGTATTGATCACGATTATTATGTTTCTTGGGCAAGACATTTTTGCTTTGATCAATTATTTTAGTTTCACTAACTGGCTTTGGACTGGCGTTGCTGTGCTTTCGGGTAAAAAAAAAATTTTTTTTTTCATATCGAACGTTTCTATCTCATTAAACATTTGTGTACAGGCATTGTATTGCGACATAACTGTAAAGATATGGATCGTCCAATTCGTCTACCATTATGGTTACTATATCTTTTCGTACTGTCATGTCTATTTCTTACCATATTGGCCGTACATAATGATTTCCAAAATTCATTGATCGGTTTTGCTTTGATGTTATCGGGTATACCTGTATATTTTTTGAAAATTTTTCTCGAAAAAGAACAATTAAATTTCGGTATGTTTCTCAAATTTTGTAAATTTTATTATTCAAATAATCAATAACTCTTGGTGATAATAATTAATTAATACTAAATTTCATTTCATTTTTAGATTGTATAAAAGTTTTTTTACAAAAACTTTTTCTCATTGTCGAAACGGATACGGATGATTTGTAAAAAATACAATTCAATATAATTAATATAATTGTTGTAAGTGATATAATTGATTTTCATCATCAACAAGCCATACATTTATAACAAAAAAAAGCAATATAATAATTATTGTTATAATAACAAATATCATCATCAAATTATAAATTGATAAATCGATAAGATCAAACACAAACATAAAATTTTTAAAGGAAAATTTTTTGCTTTGATTTCATTTCACATTTACAAAATGGACAAACATCATTCTTAATATTCAGGCAGCAATGTTCACATGATGTATGGCCACATGGTATGAATGCCATACATATTTGGTCATTCAAACATATTTTGCATAATGATTTATTGTTATCCATTATTTCCTATGATATATATACATAAAAAAAAGATATATGAAAAAAATATGTATGGTTTCAAGTTTTGTATATTTTCCAATATTAAAATCAATATATATTTTAAAAACACATACCGAATTATCATAATGTTCTTGTTGATTAGGATAATAATGATGATGATGATGATGATGAATGATAGAATCTTGAACTAATACGGCATTCTGATAGTTTTTTAGCATAACATTATCAAAATGTTTATTAAAATGATAGATATAACGTCGTATATCATCATAGAATTGTTTCAATGTTTTATCAACATCAAATACGTAGGATTTTTTATTGACTATTGTTGATGATTTTGATGTTGCAATATTCAATAACGATGGCGTTGATATTGTTTGCATTAGATCATTTAGAAATGAGAAATTAGAATTAAATCGACTTGGTACGATAGTTTGATCGATCATTGGAAGACTATAGAAAGCTCGTTTTTCAGCCAATAAACGATAGAATTGATAATAGTCCTTTTCAGAATAGATACGAAATTTTTGCTCAGTAGTTAGATTAGTTTCATCACTATAATTGATTGTTATGATGAAACTATAATTTAATAAATGGCTTGATTTTTGATGATGAATCTCTTTCAATTTATTATACGTTATCCTGTTTGTTTAGTTGTTATCAATAATTAACAAATAAAGTTTAACAAACAAATATTCAAATTACTCACAGTTTTATATCGTTATTATTTGAACTTATAGTTATGCCACGTGGTCCGATACCAACACGAAAATTTTTCTTATTTGATGTTACGGTAAAATAATCAACGCCAAGATCATCAATTTCTAAAGCTTCTTTTAGGAATAAACTTTTAGCATGATTTGAAGAATATCCTAGAAATCTTTGGTGCCAGAATATAATCTGTTGTATTGAATCACAATGTCGTTGTTGATCACTAGCCATTGTTTTTGATTTCGACACTGTTAATGGAATATTATAATTGCTTCCATAGTCCAGTATATCACAATTTGTTGGTCGATATTTAACATTATTCAATGATCGATTTGGATTCGGTATTCGTTTTATCTGTTCCAAATGATATAGGATTGAAATCCATTTTGAATAAAGTATTTTGAGATCATATGATTCTTCATTAAAATCGCCATATTCAATTTGGGCAATTAGAGCAATCAATTTAGCTCGTTTTTCGGGATCAATTTTCAATACTTTTGTTTCCAAATAATGACATATATTCAGATAGAATTGATGCCTTTTTTCAATAATAAATTAACATTATTATTATTAATTATTTACAACATGAATTGAATTTAGTCAAAATTACTAACTTGGTTGCATTCTGTTGAATATGATGTGGAAGAACATAGAATTTGACTTTAAGATATAATCGAATCGTTTTCATCCGTACGTTCATCTGTTGATTGATTCTTTTGCGTAACACTAACCAATATGGTTGACCATTACGATAATATTGTAGACCAAAAAAATTGATCTCAATAACATCAAGTAAATTACAAACCTATGAATTGGATGAATTTTTTTTTCATTATTTCACAATTAATCATCATTTTTTTTCATCATCAAACAAACCTTAATTAAACAATCTTGACCATAAGCTCTATGGTGAAGAATAATTTCGATAGCACAGTTATTTGGCTGAAACACTAGACACTTCATATTGTCAAATTAGCATTATTATTCTCAATATATTATAGATGACTAATTAATAAGAAGTATACGAAAGGAAATCATGCAAAGAATCGTTTTTGGTAAATAAATTATATTAATCTATAATCTATTTTTAAAAAGTGACGATTGTCATACTAACAAACAACAACGTTATTCGAATGAAGAATGGATAGACTGGTTTTTTTACTTTCTCTCTCTTTTGCTTAACTGTGTTAAATGTTCAAAGGATCATTATACAAAATTGCATGCAGTGGATTGTTATGACGTTAGTGGCAGTCGCCGATGACAATATGAAAAATTTCAATCAATAAAGGTTCCAAGGAAAAAATAGAAAAAAATATACGGTGGTTACCATGAGGACGACCAAGTTTTTTTTTATTTTCACTTTGATGATGATGATGGTGACTGGTTGTCATTTCGACGACAACGACGACGATGGTGATGAGGATGGCCACCAAGAACGAAGATTATAGTTTTTCGATGATTTGACATTTGCGCACAATTTTTGTGATCAATAAATATTATTCTAGTTGGCGCAATAGTGGCGACGACTACGATGACAACGATCAGATCATTTCAAGATAATGTCAATCAAAAGAAAAAAAAAGAAAATGGAAGAATAAAATGGAAAAAAAACAACATAATCTTAATTTATTCAAATGAAGTAATATGAGAAACATTCTCTGTTTGTCTATAGATCATTCGATTCGATTCGATTCATGATGAATAAATGGCAAAAAACGGCCCTACCCAAGAATAGTTTGTTCTTTAGGTATGGCGTCACTATTTCGTGATTAATAATAATAAAAATAAAAATTTATTTGAGATTGATTGGATTGATTGGATGTCATCAAAATGAAAAAGAAAAACAAAACACTATCAATGATAAAACCATTCATTTATCGTCATAGAATGGCCGAAAGAATTTTGATAATCTAGTTCTTTTTTCAATCATAAACACATATATAATACATACACGCATAAACAGGCGAAATTATCATTCTACTCGATGTTATTATTTTGTTGGATTAGCAAGAAACAAAGAAAAATTAAATTATGGTGTCACAAGAGCATGATAACGGCATCAATTGATGCTAAAACATCTTTCTTATTAATGATTTTCATAATAGATGACAAATTTCTTTAATTTTTCTCATATACACATTATCATATGGTGATAAATCGTATATCGGGGTATAGTATATAAAAACAAGTTGTCATGGTGTATATCATTAATGGCAACAAGGAAACCCAAAAAAAAACAACAACATATGTTGCTTTTTCTATGATTATTATCAAAGAAAAAAAATGTACGCCATTGCTATTGATTAATTGATTAAAAATTGACAAATTTTGTGCCTAAATTCGATGAAATTGTCATTATTATTGATAATTGGTCAATAAAATCATAATTTCGAATAAAATTCCATAATATTTTCAAAAAAGGGGAGGAAATCACGTATCGTTATTTATTGAGGTGCTATGAGTTTTTTTCTCAGCCTTTTTTTCACATTCATTTTAGTTATAACACAGAATATTTATCACAATCCATGTATTCATCATTGAGTTGTTTTTTTTTAGAATTATCATTGTTGTCAACCGAGTTTTTTTTATAAGTATTTTTCTCATTAAATTAGGTTAACCTCTGATGACGATGATGATGATGATGATTGTATACATGAATGCTGTTCGTCACTTCATCGTCATTTTCAAGAATGGATTTTGTTAAATTTGATTGGATTCATTTTTTGTGATCAATTTTGTTGATTTTAATTTGATTGTTAAAAACCTGGAATAAATAAAAAGGTATGTAATATCAATGGAAATAATAATAATAATGAGAAATTTATTTAGAAACAATTAGTATGAACAGAATGGATGTTAACCACCTTCACCACCACCACCATCATCATCATCATATTCATAATAATCATCTTTCATCCAACAATCAGTATCATTATGGTCCTCATTCAGTGAATCATTTGTTAATTTCGACATCAAATCATCCAGTTCAACATTCGACTAACAGATTAAACGATTTGGTACTACACGATAATGGAGACAATAATTATTCGCTATTAACTTGCAAATCTGCCAATAATCAGACAGCTATCCGAAATCTTCGCTTAAAAATGCATGAAATTCATTTGGCCTATATCAATAGCGATCAATGTGAAGCTAAAATGAAATTACGAAAACGATTGGAAAGTTTAATCGATGAATATCTAATGATTGTACGACATACAGATAAATTTACATTCAGAGAATTTCGTGATTGTTTAGAAACCACTTGTAAAAAATCAAATTTTGACCCAGAAAAAGTTATCGCAGGTATTATTTTTAAAAAATTGATGATGTTGATTCTGATTAATTTTAATTCGTACAGCTTTTGAATTAGTAGAACGATATGCTCTCAATCTGCTGAATTATCCATGGCGTCATGAATATCATAAAATATTTGCCTTTGGATACTTTCGACTAATCAAATGTTCTTTATCCGGACATTCTGAATTGTTGCAATTAATTGGCTATAATTATGATCCATCATTGGATATTTATGTCTTGACCGAAATGCCCATTGATCCGGATAAAATGATTGCCATTTCGTTTGATTGTTTAGTTTCAATTGTGGAGATACAAATCATGTTGGACATCAAGACCAAATGTCCAGATAAAATGTCCTGGAATGATATTTATTCCATTAGGTGCCAATATATTTGTAATGTGCAAAGTGCCGTACAGATTTTTTGTGATCTAAAACGTAACAACAAATTAACTGAACTGAGTTTAGATCTGGATTTTCCCGATTATTCAATGAAAACATTTAATAAACTTGACCTGTGGTTACCGATAAATTCCACCATTTGTTCGACATCAAAAGACAATAGTCCACAACATAATAAATTGAGTCCCGAAATCATTTTACCACCACCGCCCAGCTATCTGGAAAGTGATTTAGATATGATTGATTTCATCGATTCATCAACACCAAAGCAGAACGAACAAACTAGTTTTAAAACCAAAAGTAATACTGAATATGTCTGTCATACGGCCTTTATAGACGATTTGAAATCTACAAATACGGCAACTCGAAGAATAATATCAGGAAATTTGAAGCCAAACAATTCTGACTCACAACAAACAAATTCTCCATCAAATCCAAACTCTTCTTTTTTGTATCGTTCGTCACCAAAAGACAACGATATTAATCCTACTAAGCGATCAATTTCAAAAGAAAATCTATTAAATAACCATAAACAGCTAATTGAACTTGAAGAAGACAATAATTTCCAACCATTGCATCCTGAACCAACCAAATCAATTATGTCCAATGGATGGTCATGTACATCCTGTACATATGTTAACGATGAAATTGTCGAAATATGCATAATGTGTCATCGTAGTCGAACAAAAGGCAATGAATCCACACCATTGATTACTGGTGGTCGACAATGTAATAAATGTACATTGGTCAATGATAAAAAAGAAAAATTCTGCACAGCATGTGGAACATCGTTGGCCGATTCACCGACATACATTTGATATGAATGTCTTGAAAAAAAAGACGACAAAAAAAACTACTAGTTGCTGTGATAAAAAAAATGCATTAATGTTTAATCACTGAATTTGAGTTTATTAATATATATTGATGATTTATAATTCAATTATTTGTTAAACATGAGTATGTGTATTTGTTTCCGGTTAACCATCAAAAAAAAAGTTTCTTTGATGAAAATAAAATAATAGCCCAATTAAGTATCGTATTAAGTTATCGTTTCAAAAAATAATACGACCCAATAATAATCGAAATTGTTGCCAAATTTAGATTCGATCATTATCACCGGAAGGAGCTACTATATTACCACCATATTTTCGTTCCTTATTAAGAAAATATGCTCCGATTCCATAAACTATTGAATTCAAGATTCCAAATACCTAGTAAGAATTTTTGAAAAACAAACAAAAAAAAAAGTTTTATAATTTAAATTATTAATTAATTAATTAATAATGCACATACACCCGAAGTTATGTAAGTTCCAAAATAGCTTGTACCCAAATATGAATTGAAATAGGTCAAACTATATCGATAATCTTCACGGCAACTGTATAATATATGGATTAAGGCCGTTATGAATAAAGAAATTGCCGCAATAATCGTAAATGACAATTCTGTTGTTAGCCAATCAAATTTGGGAAAAAATACATTTTTCAATGTAACAAGATAAGCGAAACAAAGAATCAATGTAATGGCGAATGTAATGGCCAGAAAAAAGGTGAATAATCTTGAAAACCACTGTATATCATAAAACAAAAAAAAAATTGTCAATTTGGTTCTATATTATTGATATATCGATTCACCATACCGTCAATGGAGGTGATATACAACTCAATGCAACAATTCCGAATAGCTAATTGGGGAATTGGATAAGAAAATGTGGAAAAAAAAAAAACGAAAATTCTTTCAACAAAAATGTCCATAAACATTTGATACTGAATTTTTTTTTACCAATTCAATGAGTTTGATGACACCCGGATTAGTGCAAAAATATTGTGGATTAAAATAAAGATCATCAACAACGCCAGTCGATTGTGCTTTTCCTCTGATAGTCATACCGGATTGACTGTATTTGGGCGCACCACGTTTCACATAAATCAATTCATTTGATGATGGACTCTGACTTGTGTTTGAGGTCGACATAATTGGTACCGTTTTGAATTACCGAAATTTTTTTTTATCAAATTAAATATTGATGATCGTTGTCGTTATTGATACAAACAAACAAAAACCTTAAATGGCTACTAAGAGAAGGAGAAAGTTTTCTTCATAATTCAATATTGAGACATGGAACATTCTTCGTTTTTGTCTACAACGTTTTAAATATGAAGGATTTAAAGTTTTGTGCGTAGGCGGATGTTCGATGAAATCCAATCCAAATCAAACGAGTTTTTTTGTTTGGTGTATACGAACGTGAACATTTATTTGTGTTCAAACAAACTAAACAACCACCAATAGTCGACTGAATTGGTGACTCTATGGTTTCATTTGGATAAAATCATTTTTTTTTTCTGGGCCAATGACAATTCATTCCCATCCATGATAATTATTTGACTGACATACTAGACACTGCATGCAGAAGAACCATACAAACTGACCATGAACAAACAATCATTTCAAACACCTCGATATAATACCAAGACAACCGAAAAGAATATGTTGTATAGATGAAAAAAAAATGACCACCACCTCCAAGAATAATGATTATGGCCACATTGTCCACATTATATCTGATTCGAATCAGACTCATATCGGCATCAAAAATTGAGAGAGAAAAAATTTATAGAGAACAAATTTTTAATGAGAAAACAAACTTTTAATTTATCATCGTTTTCATGACAATGTCCATTGTATTTTGTGACTTGAACTTTCATTTAAAATTAGTGCCAAACTAAACTATGGACAAATATATTAAGAATTTAAAACAAAACTGAAAAATGGAACAGATTTAAATGACGCATGATTATCTCCAATGGATATAATCATCATCATCATCATCATCATAGATAAATAGGTTTCAGGTACAATCATGAGGGCAAAATTGAATTTTCAATTTCAAATCAATCCAAACAATATAAAAAGAGAAAATGATTCAATCAAAAACAACCAAATAACTAATCAATGTATAACTTTTAAAGGCCTATATTTCTTTTTTTTTTGTGATTGAAAATTAAATATCAACAATTTTCTTTCTCATGTTCTATTTCGATACAAGTGAATTTGTTTTATAAAAAAAACAAAAACAAAAACAACAAAAAATTTACTATCAGATGTCAATTTATATAAATTTTTATTATTTGTTCTCTCAAGGAGGTTTTTTTTTTTGATTTGTTATACATAGAATAATAACCATGTTTACAATTTTGGATTTGTAATAAAATTTTTATATTTATTTTTGAATCAAATGATAAAACGACCACCACCACCACCACCACAACCATCACCACTACTACTATTATTGTTATGATGATTAAATGCCATTTTCATGACATCGACAATCATCATTATCATCGTCATCATCATCATTATTATTAATAATAATTTTTTTTTGTTGATGATGATGATGATTTTGATAATTAATCGCAGAAATTGTAAAATAAATAAAATAAAAAAAATCAAGAACAAAAACCATTGAATGTGAAAGCAAATGTATAAATACTTTTTTTCATATATATATATATCATCAATATATATACATGTCAACCATATATATACAATGAAAAAAAAAAATTGCCGCGCGCGCATCTTATTAACACATCATGCCAACTAAACAAACCGACAAAAAAATACGCTGTTCATCATCGCAGCAAACTTCGACAACAACAACAACAACAACAATAACAATAACAACAGCATTGCAATAATAATAATCACGATCAGTAAAGTAAAGAAAGAAAAAAAGAAAAATCCAAGTCCGAAGACCAATTTCAATACGACATCTAAACATAACAATTCATGGAGAAGCAAAACAAATAGTCAAGATCGTCATTTCAATCATAATCATTTGATGATCATTTGATAATATAAATATTTGGTTCCTATATTTTTTTTCTCTTTATAATGGTCATTATAATTGGTTTTTTAAGGTCAAATCATCAAAATTCTTGCAATTTGAATTTATTGTAAAGAAGATTCATTTTTTTATCATTAACATCAGCTGATCATATTATTGATTTTGGTATAAACGTTGGGTATTGATTTTTCAATCATATAAGAATTCAAGTGCCTTTTTTTCAACAGGCAAACAAGTTCAAGGCATCATCCATTATATAAATGCACCGCCAATATCGAGAAAATATTTATATCTATTCTATATATTATGATATGATATGATGATAATTTCAATATTTGTTGACATGATCATGATGATATTGTTTGATTTGATTCATTTTTTTCACTAACAACAAATATTATCACTGTGAATTTTTTTTTATAATATAATTTCTTTCGAATTTGTTCTTTGTTATTATTATTGGATGTCAAACAAAAAAAAAACGGATCACCATCATACATTTCACCCGGATCTTTTTTTCCACTGAGTGATTCTTGTTTTTTTTTTGTTCAATTTTTTATCATCATCATCATTCGTTTGTATATGTAACTGTGTTCACGAAAGTTATAAACTACACATGCAATCATCATCAATACATTCGAATGTAATACCATAATCATAATTATCATTCTCATTTCAACTACAACAACCAAACAAACCAATCAGCCACCACCACCACCACAACGACCATCAAAAACACTACGACCACGGCGAATAAATCACTTTTTTCTTCTTGTTTTTTTTTCATCATTTGTATATGTGTGTGTATGTGTGTGTTTTTGTTGTTGGTTGAAATCTTTGATGCTCATCATCATCGTTGATCCTTCGCCATCATCATCGTTGTTGTTGTTGTCGTCGTCGTCGTCGTCGTCGAAATTTTCCTATATGATTTTTTTTCTGTTTTGCATCCAATTATAGAATCGATTCCTAATTCTGTTACAAATAAAAATTCTTACTATTTTAAATAAAGAGAATATATTATGAATATATTCAGTGTATTATTCAGCCAATGATCACCACTATTTGTGAGTGAAAATAATCATAATTACTAATTAATAATTCATCTATGATGGGTGCTAGACAAAGTACAACATCGACCAGTAGCAATAGCAACAGTAATGGTAGTCCATCTCGGATGATACATCATCAACAACAGCATCATAATCATTCAATAACTGATGAAGATAATTCCTCAAACATGGGTAATTATAATTCAACATATTCGACATCATATAGAAATAATAATAGCCATCGGTCAAATAATGAAAATAATCAAATTTTTAACAACAACAATAATAATGACAATAATTCACGACAACGTACGCGAAGTTTAGTGTTGTCCGGTGATCTTACGACATCCGGCTCGTCATCATCACGACCATCACATTCGAGTGCCATCGATTTTACATCGACTACCTCATCATCACATGACATCCTTCCAAATGATTTAGATGTTGATATTGGTTTTTCGTCAATGACGTTTATGCCTTTTTCACTTCCAATTATTCCATATAATTATAATCGTAATTATTATCTTTATTGATTTGAAATTTAATAATCATCATAAACTTTAAAATTCTTTATGATTTTACATAGATGTCAAATGTTCGGGTTGTTCGAAAGTCATTCTGAAAGATGAACTACAATTTCATTTGATGTGTTATAAACTTCCTTTTAATTATAATGGTAAATGTTTGGATTGTTGTTAATTTTGTCATTAAAATAATAATCGATTATTATTCTATGCTTTATAAAGAGGATGTGCTCACCGAAGACAAAGGTGAATGTGTAATTTGCTTAGAAGATATGCTTAATGGTGATAAAATTGCCCGTCTTCCATGTCTTTGTATATATCATAAAAAGTAAGTGAAAAAAAATTTTTTTTCATTGAAATTAACATTAATTGGTTAATTTTTCATCATTGATAGATGCATCGATGCTTGGTTTAATGTGAACCGATCATGTCCAGAACATCCAACCATTTCAGTCTAATCAAATCAACAATGATCAATCAATGGCAAATATATGAAAAACAAAACACTGTTGTGGTTCGAATATATTCTCTTTCCTATCTTTCTAATATGATCCAATCTTCGAATATAATCTGTGAATTTGTTTCATTTTTATTTTTATTATCATTTTTTTCGGCTTCAGAATATTATTTTCATTCATTTTTTGTTTTTATATCTTTCTAAATGATTGTGATATCAAATCGCTCGCCAGCAATTTTTCCGTTATTCTTTCCTCTACCCACACACACACATACGCACACACACACACACACACAAACATACACACATTCATTACACAAAAACACTCAATTCTTGTCAGAATTTGTCAATTAAACAAACAACAATCTCATTTTTCTATAAAACAATGATGACTCAAATTGGATGGCGAAATTTTGTTATTATTGTCATTTTTTTTTTTAGTGTTGACTTTATTGATTTGATCTTTTCGTTATTGTTTTTCCTTTATCAATTCACTTTCATCGTTATCATCATCATTGGGAAACATTCATCAGCTGATCAGACAATGGAATTGGCCACAAAAAAAAATTAAAGATAGTTTTAGTGCCTTATGCTGAAGTCATACTGTTAGCCGTCGTCCAAATTTAACCTTGAATGATGAAAGGTCTGAAACAACGAATTCATTAATTTTCATATGACAACTGGTTGTAGTTGTAAAATATGTTTTTTTTATTTGAAAAAAGAATTAATTTTAAAAAACACTTTAAAGATATATATCTGAATTACAATTACAGGAGCATATAATTTTTATTTTGTAAAGTAAATTGTAATTTATTTTTACGTCGAACCAAATTCGGCCATCCATTTTTCATATTTTTTCAAATCTTCTGGCGAAACTGATTTATTGATCTTTCGCATTGCTTCTTCGAAATCAGTAAATGTAACAGGAAGGTCAAGCTCTTCTTTCGATAGTGAACGTATTTGTTCGGGCGTCAAACCATGAATACGACGTCGCATGACCATCATACAAGCATCGCGACAAACATTGGTAATATCTGCACCAGAATAGCCATCCAAACGACGAGCAATTTCAACAACATCCAAATCTACTGCTTGTTTCACTTCACGTAGATTGATTCGAAGTAATGCTTCTCGACCTTCGGCAGTAGGTAATGGAATGTAAATTCGTTTCTCTAATCGTCGTCGTAAAGCTTCATCAATATCCCAAGGAAAATTGGTGGCAGCTAAAACCATAACGACTTTGGATGGATCATCATTATTAGTTATTCCATCCATTTGTATCAACAATTCGGATTTCACTCTTCGACTTGCTTCATGTTCATTATCTGAACCTCTTCGTGAACAAAGCGAATCAATTTCATCAATAAATATAGTGGATGGTGCATAAAAACGTGCCATTTCAAATAAAAGTCTAACTAATTTCTCTGATTCTCCCCGATATTTTGATGTCAATGTAGTGGATGAAACATTGAAAAATGTTGTTTTACATTCTGTCGCTACAGCTTTAGCCAACATTGTTTTACCGGTTCCTGGTGGTCCTACCATCAGTACACCCTTCCATGGCCTACGGATACCACGAAAAAAATCCGGCATCCACATTGGCAATACGACAGCTTCTTCCAATAAATGTTTAGCCTCTTGTAAATCGGCAATATCATCCCAATGAGTGTCAGGATTTTTCTGCAATATATCACGTTCGAGCATTTCTACTAGTTCAGCATCTGGTCCATGAATTTCGAAACGACGTTCTTTATGCTCATTTTCATCGTTTGACTTAGCGTTTCCATTGGAATTTGTTTGGCTTGAATTGGCACCAGAATTATTGCTTGGTGTATTAGTTTTACGTTTTGTATCCGACATTCGTAAACTCGAAGCATCTTTACTTTTAGCACGTGGATCTTTGGACGAACCTTTGGATGAAGCTGAACTTCGAATGGATTTTTGAGTAGCACCACGATAATTAGTATTCTGATGTGAGGAAGACGCATGACCAGGCTTACGAGAATTTGAAGATGCCGTTGGTGGTGGTGCAGCCATAGAACGATGATGATGATTTACATCAACTGGTTCAGGCCATACATCTGGATCGCGATAAGTATCATAAGAAGCATTTTGCAAAATGGTAGCGAAAAGATTAGGATCAATAGGACCATTTGATCCTGAAGATCCAACCGTAGCTAATGAAGGAGGACCTATTGGCCGAGAATTATGATGATCACCTTTGAAATTTAATAATGTAGCATGAAGATCTTTGACCACTTCATATTCTTGAGCAATGATTTGTTGAACTTCTTGCCATTTTTCCTTGAGATTATGATCGGTGATAGTCTGTAGATGACGATGAATTTGTTGTACAACACCTTGATAATAGATTAAAGCCGTTTCATAATTCCCCAATAGAGAACATTCACGGGCAACTTTAACATTGTCACCGATTTCAGCTGAAACATTCATTTTTTTTTCTCTGATTCAACAATAATCACAACATAAGCATAACAATTGAATAAAATTTTGTTTATGTGAATATATTTGGAGCAAAAATAAATGCTAGAAATGGAAAAAATCATCAAATATCAAATATTTCATAACAACTTTGTACATAAGCAACAAACAACAACAACAACAAGTTTGATGCGTGAGCGTTGAAATTCAATGTATTTTAATATCTATAGTGGTGGTGGTGGCAGTCGCCGCAATAGTAAAGTTGGCATAAACAGGCAGCAATAGCCACAGAAAAAGTTTCAATTTTTGATGGCCACCGAAGATGCTGTTGGTCCTTTTATGGACAAAATGAATGAATGAATGAATGGATGCAACTAATGGAACCCTGAATAACAACAACAACAACATTCGAAACCAAGTCAGCCTGCCTGCTTTATCGTTGTTTGAAAGAAAAAAAAATCGAGATCAATGTTAATGACCTATGATAATGATTTTGATGATGGTGGTGTTAAAGTTTTTTTTTCATTTTCTGGTTTCATCCAATTCTAACATTTCTTGCATGCAGGTTGTCGTGGTAACAATAAGCACAATTTTCTCTCGATGGTTTGGTTCGAAAATCACAAACAAAAGCCACACATATTGGACGTATTTTATAATGAAGCACTTTTTAAACGAATGTATATATTTTAGTTTTCGATTTATCAATTTTTGCATTGTAACTGTTTTTTCGTAAACCAGCTATTGTATCGAGCATGTGCTGATTCAAGTTTGCTAAATAGATGGCTAGTTAAATCACGATGAAATTCTCTTGAAACACGGTCATGAAATGGCTGTAGTTTATTACAATGAAATCGATCCAATGTTTCTTTCATTTCGATAAATTTTTTCTCGTGTGTTTGATTGGAAAACGGAATACATTGCCAAAAATGATAAAGCAATTCATTCAGGGCCATCGTAAGGTTTCTAAGTTCCATTAGAACATCTTTAGGTATTTCATCCTTGAGATTCGATGATACAACGGCTGCATCTTTCATGAGTATGCCACCGGGAGATAGATCGTTCACAACTTGGATAGCTTTTTTAGAATCTTGTATGATGCCAGAAAATGGTCGCCAATTGGATGTAATGGATGCGATTTGTTGTAATACAGCAGCTTGTAAAGATGCTTTAAAATTTCGTTTATCATGTGGATAATCACTAGAATAATTAAAATTAACATTTTAAAAAAATATATTAAAAGTATGCAATATGAACTCACTATGAATTTTCGGAATTTTTTAACAAAGGTGTTGGCCCATACATATAACGTTCCGTATTTGTAACTTGAAGTTTGGGTGGCTGAACTCCTTCATCAAAGTCGTCAATTGATGCTCCGATTGCAGGTTTTTTACCTGCAAGATCATCATATTCGGTAGCTTCTTTTAATCGTCGCTTTTTGGTCATTAATCTTTCATTCTCAAAAGCATCATCTTTCACTTCGACAATAGATGTGGTTAATTCTTCTGTTGGTTTTTCTTTAGATTCTTTCTTTTTATCTCCACTTATTATCGACAATGGATCTTTGTATCCACGTTCTTCCTCCGATCGACATGCATCCAAAACCATTATTGAGTGAAAGTTAAATCTTCTGATCAAAGCTTTGTTAGCAGATAGTTCTGGCTTTCCTGAGCTAGTCGTTGCTTCAGAACCCAACACGTTTTCCAACGTTGGTTCAACTGGATCGTCAAATACTCTTATATCGAAAAATGGATCAATTATTCCTTTTTTAATAGCGTTTTGGATGTCCATTTCATCTTGTTTGGCGCAATCGTTGAAAAAATCTTTCATTGAAGTCATACGATCACGGTGAAAATAATGTGATTGAAAAAAACGTTGCCAAAATTCTTGTTCAGTCAATTTATGAGGAACACATTCAAAATGCTTCCGTTTTACGGCTGGATATGTTTGAAATATAGCTTCAATTATTTCACTTGTAATATTATAATGTATGCCATTCTGTCCATCGGATTGTGGTTTGACATCGGCTAAAAAAGCCGAAGATACTCCTACTTTTTCTTTTTTACCGGTAGCATCAATTCCTTTCATTGCTAATTGCTTTCGTGTGGCATAAGTCTCCCAGAATTCGTCAGTTGTAATAATGTTTGTAGCAACCAATTCTTTATAAAGTTGATAAAGACTTGGATTATCAACTAGAACTTTCCATTTCTGTTCCATTTCTTGAGACATTTTTCGGCGAAACAACGGCAACATTTGCTGTAGGATTTCTTTTACTTGATTACGATCTTCTAGCTGATCTTGTTGACCTTTAGGATTTACAAAATGAAATGTATCACTTCCATTGGCCAAAACGATTTGCAATTGAATCTTAGGCTTTCCTTCAGGTGAAATTTTTTGCGTTTTAATGTCGGCATAATTATGTGATATCGTAAAAGTATTTTTGCCGTTCGGCATCCATGCGATTCGTTCATTCATCAAATACAATGTTCCATCGGCTTTTTTCACACGGACATGTTCAATCATAGCACGAACATCTTCTGATTGTGCCATGATGATTTGAATAATTTAAATTTTCAAATAAGAAATATTCTATCTAGCTATTTATAATTATAATAAGTTGATAAATGAATAAAAACAATCAATCGGCACAATAATCAGGCATGAAATATCATAACAAGATAGATTGATAGTTTCACGGGAAAATTGCTGCTGCCATCTATGATTAATTACGATAATCATAAATTAAATCATCTGTTGAAATTTTTCCAAAATTTTTGAGTGTTAAAGTGAAACATCGCTATAATCGAGGCAGCGTTAAGCGAAGTATTACTGTAATTAAATCTTTCAATGTTGTTGTTTTGTTTGAATAAGATCAAAGTTTATTTTTTGTACTATATTGTTTATATATACAAAATATTATAATCAAATGATTATTTAACAATAAATACAGATCAGCTTTTAATATAGGATTGATAGGAAAAACAAGCATCGATACCATAAATGATTGAAACGATCAGACCGAATATCTATGAAACAAAAAATCGTAATTAATTGATCAATCAAACTAATTTAGTAAATGAATTCCGAACTAACCGAACTAGTAAGTTTGCCTTTGAATCCTGGTTCGGCAGGAAATCCGTCATCATTTTGATTTCGATTTATCAATGTTAACAATAAACTGAGCGAAACAATTAGTTGAGAAATAAAGGCCAATAAATTATAGACAAATTCCTTTAGTATAATCAGAATAAAAAAAAAATTCAATATCTAAAATGTATTAATATTTTATAAATCATACATACAAATACTGTCTTGGGAATTATAGTTGAAGCAAATATTGAAAAATAATATATAGCTAGAATCAATGTTGTCATGAAGAATAATTCAAAATCAATCAATAGGGCAATGGTTTCAAGATTACCGCCAACAAATCCAGAATAAGTGCCTAAATATGGATCATAATTACTACGACATGAAAGCCATATGGTAGAAAATGAAATTAGACAGCAGAGCTATAAGAATACAAGAAAATATTAGTAAATCGAATGAAATTTATTCAACAAAAATGCAAAAAACTTACACATTGAATGAATTTAAGAATACCGGGTATAGATCGAAGATAATTTTTATTCACAATAATTGGTTGTGTAAAATTTATTTTTACAAAAGGCATGATGAACAAAGATGATTTGAAAATCAAGAAGGAATCAAAGAAAAATTGAAAATTATCACCATGTTGTTTGATTAATTGTTACAATTTAAACAAAATTAATTATAAAAAAAAATTAGAGATCACCATTCAATGGATTTATTGCAATGGTGACTATTGAGTATTTTTTGTATCGATGAAATTAGATGAGAATTCTTCATTGGCTAAAATGGTTCCAGAATAACCGAATTTTTCTTCGGTTGTTCGGATATAATAATATAAACATGCTAACAAAAACACTATTGAATGACACAAACACAGACTCGAGCTCGTTCACCTTGCTTTTACTTTCATGAATTGTCGTTCATTCTTGTTATGCAGATGCCACCGCCCTTGAATTCTGATTCATATATTTTTTTTTTATAAATCGCAGACAACGATCAACAATGAATAACAACAATAACGTATTCAATAATTGCTGACGATGAAAATATAATGATTATGATGGCTATAAAGAATCTTAAACCAAAAAGCTAAACCATCATCATGTAAACAATCAAATGACGTCGACTCATAATTTTGATGATTATTATAAATGATTAATGATCATATCCTCATCCATAATCACTATTTGTAAGCATTATTAAACAGAATAGAGAAAAAATATGTGAACACAGGAACTATTGAAAAGTAGATAATTTTGACGTTTTATATTTCAAACGATATGAATGTGGTTTGGGAATTCCATCATTTTCATATATATTGAAAAAAAACAAATAAACAAACGAGCAGCATCATCAAGTATCATTATGTTGGAATGTCATAGATTATCGAACCATACATAAAAAAAATATCCATTGACAATTATCATCAAAAAAAAAAAAAATGAAAACTATCTACCACTATGGTGATTATTTATTTTTGATTTGTTTTGATATCAAAAGCGACAAATCTTATATTTTTTTTTTTCTTGGCCAAAAAAAAAAGAGAGAGCTAAAGTTTATATCATTATTATTATCCATTATTATGATAAAGTAATCAGAAAAACTATTCAGTTTCATCCATTTATTAGATGTATATAAAATTACAATATATAGATTACACAGAGTATCATATCGCATATGAAATAATGGTACTTATCCTATTTACTTAAATGAATTCTGTATTATCTTAACCAATCCTTTTAGTATTTCCGATCTAAACACTTTTGTTTTGCTTGTTGCTTTGCCAACTTAAATTTGCCTTTCGCAAAGAAGGAGCATTTTGTTGTTTTGGACCAAGAATGAATTTTTTTTTTCATAATAAAATGAATAGGAAAGTTTTATTTTTCAATTTTATTCACCATGAATAATACATTATTTGTCGTAAAATCATTGTATCAAGAAAAGACAATTAATTCAAAAAAAAAAAAAGTTTTGAGACAATATTTTTGGAATGAATTCAAAAGGTATATAAATGTGTTTATGGGCATTGGTAGAGTCAAAATATTCATTTATGAAGAAAAAAAACTGGACAAAATTGGAAAATGGTCGGCGAGCATGGTCATTCATTCATAAATTGTTTGCATGATGAATATAAATCATGAATAATGAAAAAAAGCAACGAAAAAAAATTCTATCTAAATTGGTGTATAAAAGAAAAAAAATCGGAGGAAAACAATCTCAAAATATAAGAATATTATTATAGTCAATGGCAAAAAGAATAGGAAAATTGTAAAAGATGATATAGTGAAAAAAAAATAAAAGTAATGAGAAAAAATGGAGAAAATTCTTCTTTTTTTTTGGATTAAAAAAAAATCTTATAATAATAGGGAGTATTATAGAATAGATAAAATCACAGCAATATATTCCTGGTGGTAAAAGGGAAAAATCGGTTGTATATAGCTAATAAATGAAAAAGTCCGATTCATTACATTGATGAAAAAAAAGAAAGAAAAAAGTGATATAAAATAATTTTTCTGTATATCACGCGTCACATTATGATGATGATGATGATGATAATGATAAAACAATGTATTCGATCGGATAACATCATTATAATCACAATAAAATTTTTTTTTTTTTTCGTTTTTGGTTTGGTTTGTTTATTATTCAGATCATTATGAATTCGTATGAATGATATCGATGTTCATTTTTTTCAACACTAAAATTATTATCGTTATTATTATCATCATTATTATTATTATTAATGGGAATATTAAGACTTTTGTAAGATATTTCACGATCACTTAATGTTATTTGTGGTTTAATAATAGCCATTTGGGATTCAATTACTGGATTATCGAAATCATCTTTATCAATATTACTGCTATGGCTATTATTAACACGAATAATTACATCTGATATAGCTGATCGACTTCGAATTTCTGGTATAGAATCGGATTTATGTGAATTGGAGCTTGGACTTGTCGATCCAACAACTTGTAGTTGGCTTGTACAGCTTTTGATTTCATAAAAACTTTTCATTTCAGGTATATGTTGTTGATGAAATTGTTCCAATAATTCTTCGCTTAATGCAAATGCACTAGATGAACGACGATGTCCAGATCTTATTGGTTTTGTTACAACTGAAAGTGGTTTTTTTACTCTAGGTTTTCGATAAAAAGAATATGTACCAGATTTTTCATTATTATTTCGATGACTGTTTTGAGTATTCTGTTTGTTCGATTTAGGAAGTAATATTTGTAAAAAATTCATTATCCGTTCATGACTACTACTCATCAATGATGTTTGAGATTTTTTATTTGGTTCTTCAAGACGATTATTACTACCAGTTGCACCATTAGTCTGTGAATTTGTTTCCTCATTTATTTCATCTAATTCTCTTCCATACAATCTAATATGGCATTGAAAAATCATGGAATGAATGGCAAGATTTTCAAAGTCAAATTCATCATAATTTATACGAGATTCATTCAAATTTTGCATAAATTTATCAATTAATCTATGTTCAATACATTCCAGCTGAATGATGGCATTCAATTTTCTCTTTAAGCAATCTGTTTCCATTGAACATTGCTTTCGGAATAATAGTAAAACTTTTAAAAAATAGCTACAACGATTCCTGGCAGATGAAGATGAATCGATTTCTTGCAGCAAATACAAAACATATTGATCATCACTCATTTCATTATCGATTTGTATGCTATCACAATCATTCAGATCTGAATCATTATTTGATCGTTGTTTTCTGTCTTCATTACAAAATTTTTGTTCAATAAATGCGATTAGAATAAATCTTTCTTCATGTTTGCTTCCATTTAGTATATTAAGTATTTCATGATGTTCTATGCTTTCTGTATTGTCCATTAAATATCTTTTCATTTGTTCGGTGAATATTGAACTCTGTTCAATAATTCGTTCAAATTGATCTTGGCTAAGTAATAAATCTCCGGCGATTATAGTTGCCGTATTAGCCGTGGAACTAGCAGCTGTCGTTCGGCTAGATGAACTTGAAAAACCACTACTGAAGAATGAGGATGATGTACTTTTGGTTGGATTATCGCTACTAAATGATAAACGACCAGTAGTTGATGTAGAATCTTTACGATTACTATAATGAGAGAATTCAAATTGAGAATCCGACGACATCTGTAAAGAATAAAAATTAAATCATAAAAATAACAATATTTCAGAAAAAAACAAATTACCTTGCGAGCATAATTTTTTTGATTATTACGAATTAATTTATTTTTTAGCATCAATATTCCAGTTGTCATTGCGCTTGCTGGATTTTGATGTTTAACATAATGTATTGGACCATTTCTAATGGAATCATGTCGTTGTTTTTGTTGATATTCAGTTACGGTATTTGAATTGGATCCATCGCGTTCACTAACAATCATAACTACTGCATTATCGTTTTTATTAACATCAATACCTCGATTGTGACTAGATTCATGTTCATTATGTTTGGTTGAAGATGATGAAGAATTTGTTTTGTTTGTTGTCGTCGGCGTTTGTTTCTTGTGGTCACTATTATCGCTATTTGATTTATTTTGACTAGTCGGTGATTGGATTTCATTCTCTAATGTCATGTGAATATGATTTTTACGATAATTACTTTGATAAATAATCGAGTTACTTTTAAATTGTTTTCCTGCATTCGATCTTTTTATTCGATTATTAAAACGAGAATTTGTATTCATCATTGATAATGATGGAATAAATTGTCGAATAAATTGACTAGTATATGATCGATCTCCATTATCGGATTCAATCGATCGAATTCTGTTTCGTTTATCATCAGAAATCTGAAAAGGATTGATTTTTGTCTTATTGTGACATTGACATTGACAATCATGATGATCTTGCTGTTTTTGTTGTTGTTCATCGATTTCTTTATTCTTTATCGGATTATTTATTGGATGAAGATTAATATCGTTGTTATTATTATCGTTATCGTTATCGTTATCATTATTTTCACTGTCTGATTCTTGTTTACGTTTTTTATTACTAGAAACAATCGATTGTATTCGATGCGTATTTGGATGATGAGGAGATTGGTCTGAATTTCGTTGATTAATAGGATGATTGTGAACGCAAACTTTACAATCGCTTACTATTTGTGGACTATTAGGATCAGTAACAGTAGATTGTCGACCACCAAAACATCGTGTACGAGATTTGAACAATTTAGAAGCATCGACTCTTTTATATAAATTTGTACATTCTTTCTTGAATTGTTTTGTGAAGAATGCATATAAAAATGGATTGGCACATGCATTCAATGGTAATACGAATATGGTAAAAATTTTTGCCTCTTCCACTGTAATCAAATGCCATCCGGCCAATGTTGTGATAGTGAAAAATGCTATAGGAGCCCAGCAAAGAAAATCGGTAAACACTAATAATCCCATTCGAATTGCTATTCTGGTATCGTTTGAATTCCAAGCTTGTGATCCACGAATTGCACAATACATACGTAAATAACAAGCCATCAGTAATATAAAAGCAATGCCATTGAATACAATCAAACTTATAATGTATATGAATGATACTAAATTATCGATCTCAAATGGAAGGCAGACTGCTACTTTTCGATAATCGCTTACACCAAACAATGGTAATATGGCCATAAATAAAGCAAAAAACCAGCCAATTGACATAACCATAACTGCAGCTCGTAATGACAATCTTTTATTGAGATGCATTGCATGTGTTATTGCATAATTCCTTTCCAGTGTTATTACGGCCAATGTATAGACAGATAATTCAGCACTGAATACACCAGCGAAACCAGTCAATTGACATATAAATGAATTTTGCCATCGAATTGCATGTGAACGAAAATAACCAAGTGTAGCCATATCTACAATAGCCAACATGCCCAGATAAATGCCCATAAAGAAATCAGCAGCAGCCAAGTTACAAACTAAAAATCTTGGTACATCCAATTTTGATGAACGACGTCGTTTACGACGTCCAAATACTAAAACAATTAAAACGGTTCCATTTCCTATTAATGCTAAAGGAAAAACAACCCATACACCGAATCGTAAGGTCCACCATTCAAAAAGATCTTGACATGGCATGAATGGATCAGGTTTAGGTAAACATTTGATCGGTTTGTTTGTGATACGATCATTCTGTTGAAAGTAAACAGCCGATTTATCACCAATGTATTCATCGCTATCCATCATATTGCCCCAATTAACTGCAGCCGGTGTTTCAATTGCAGCATAAAAATCATTAACAAACATGTCATAATTGTTTTGTTCATGATTAGGATCATCAAGATCGTTCGGTATCGGCGCAGGTTGATGAGGATGATAAAGTTTCCAGAATTGTTGAGCCAATTCAGTGATTGTTAGATTGACATTTGTATCATCCACATCTTCCAGCCATAAAATGGAATCTTGAAAATCAGAAGTTGATGGTGATACACTAGGAATTATTGAATCGACAATTTCAGGATTAATAACTTGCATGCGTCCTAAATATGGACAGCAATGATATGCATACGACATGGCCAATGTTTGTACATATGGAAATGATTCTATAGGTGGAAAATCACGTAAATTACGATTTCCATGTACTTTGATTTCCATTATTTTCATCAAGCCTGCGGTCGGTAATTCAGGAAATTTATTATGACCAAGATTTCTAATTTTAAATAATAAAAAAATCCAGTAATCTATTTTAGATATTTTAATATTTTACACACTTACAAATCACGTAATGATTGAAGCGGTAGAAATGCATTTGGGTCAATCCACCGAATTAGATTGTTTTCCATATTTAGTACTTTAAGATTGGATAAACCAGTAAACGAATCAAATGCTATTGTTTCGATTTGGTTATGATTGAGAGATAAATCAATCAATTTATGTTGATTGTAGAATGTTTTTGATTCGATTGTTTTTATTTCATTATAGCTTGCATCACTTAATGATATGATGATATGAGAAAAGAGAAAACATTCATTCATTAGGGCAATGATGATGATGATAATAATGAAAAAATAAACAAATTCAAACATACAGTAATCGTATTTCAATACAGAAATCCATTGGTGGTAGCCGTTGAATTTTATTTGATTTAACAATCAAACTTTTTAATGTTTTTCCCACATGATTACATAATCGTGAATCGATAGTGGATAAACGTAGCCTATCCAATCGTATATGTTCAATGGAATTGGTGCCGGTCAGATCGGGAAACTCCTGTTGAGCACGAATTTCCGAAAAATAACTATGAAAATGAGTGATAAAACAATAAAAAATGGTAATTAGCTTTTATTCTGATTCAATTAGTTTGTAAAAATTAATTCAAGAACATTCTTGGAAATTTTTTTTTCCATTTCTCCGTTGAAGAAGTCATTAAAATGTAGCAAACAGAAATGATCAAAATGAAAATGAAAAAGAAAAAAAATTTGAAACTGTCACAAACATCTTGTGTAATTGGGGCATTCGAATAAAAGCATCTGATTCGAATTTTTGTAACGGATTCAATGAAAGATCAAAATTAATTATTTGACTTTTGTAATAAAGATTCTCGTTTCGGTTATTTAAATTGTTGTCGTCGTCGTCGTCGTCGCTTTTGTGTTGATGATTCTCATCATTTTGTTGCTTGTTGGATTGCCCCTGTTTGTACTCAATTTGATTGTTAATGTTGGTGATGATGGTGGTAATGAATGCCTTTGACGGGATCACTTTGATGAGATTTTGGCGTAAATTTCTGTCAAAGTTTTGGAAAAAGAAATGGAAAAAAAAGGAACAATCATGAACAAATCAAATTCACGAAAAAGAAAATTACAATTCTGCATTTAAAAAAAAATAAAAATAATAGTCGCATACATTTCAGTCAACTTTGGTAATATGGATGGTGAAATTGATTCACTTGGAAATATTTTAATTCTATTCGATCCAAGATCACTGGTGAAATAAAAAATTTTTTTTTTATTATTAAAATGTCATATATTTGTCAACACTATTTAACATTGACCAATGATTGCATGCATGCATGCATGCATAACCCACACTTACATCTTTAGAAGTTTGTTTAATCCTAAAAAGCTATATGGTTCCAATTTCGTTATACGATTTGATGCCAAATTCCTGATTATGACAGAAAAGGATTAAAAAAAAATTTTTTATAAAAATTTCTCTCAAAATGCAACTACCCTAAAATCGCAAGAGAGATAAGACGCAACAACCAATATTTTTTTACTTAAAGCAACCATTAAAAATAAGACTATTTATCAACATTCTTTTTGTATAAAACGCGTCTTATAGTCGCGATTTTAGGGTAAATATTTAGATTCATTATATGGAATGATACAAACAAATATTGTAACGATGTAAATTGTCCAAATGTTTCATTCGTTATTGTAGTCAATAAATTATTGTTCAATAATAGATTATTCAACTTTGTATACCAAAGTTTATGGCCAAAATATTCGGCTCCAATTTGAACGATTTGATTGTGGCTTAAAATCCTATAGAGAAAAAAAATTTATAAATGGAAAAAAGAATCAAAAAAAAAAATAGAATTAACACGTGATTCGTATAGAATTTGATTCAGGAATTCAATATTCTACAATAGTCATTTATTTTTGAATGTCCATGAAAAAAAATTTCCTGTATACAAAATTTATTAATACAGAATATCGAAATAAAAAAAAAATTCCAATAAATTAATGGAATTTATTCAGTATATTCAATATTTGAAATGACTAGAATGTTACCATATAACCATTGAATATAAACGGAAATTTAACCAGTGAAAGAATCCTTATTAATTCCGATTGTTTGTTTTACGTTTTTTGACGTTGAATAATTTTGAATTCAATACAACAATAAACGTCAACATAGTTCCATCGTCGACGAAGTAATTTATTATATTGAAGCTTTATTGTATATATGGTATATGGGATGTTTGTTACCAAGAAAAAAAAATGAAGTCAAGAGGAACACAACCAGATTCTAATAGATTAAATAGTATTGCAACAGAATCAGTACAATGAGTGTATTCGAGAGAGAGAGAGAGAGAGAAATATATCAGGTTCCATTAAGAATTGACTAAAGTTTTTTTTTATTTGCCTCTATCTGTTTGTATTCTTATCTCTGTTTTACAAAACAAGAGAGAATTTTTCTATCAGGAAAAATAAACTTTACAGAACAACATAGATTTATTTATACTGTGTTACGGCTGTCAGAAACAAATATGAAGATCTCGGAAAAGTTTATGATTATGTCGTATGACAACAACAAAAAACAACCATCATCATCATTGAAATATAGTTCACAATCATAGTATAATGAAATAAAATTTACAATAAATTTCCACAAGAGTCACTCGGTTACCAGTGAATCATGTGAAAGGTCAGAAGTTGCCAAAAAAAAAAGTTTTATAAGTGGGGTAAAGATAAGAAAATCTTAAAATGACTGATTTGATTAATATGATAGTTTATTAATTCTGTCACATTTTCAGATGATAGATAATATAATGATAAGATACTTATTATCATAAAAGAAGAAGATAAAAGAATCATTTCATTCTGAAAATTGTGATCACAAAATTTCAACTTTTTCATAAACATTTGATAATCAAGTTATCAATTATTATTTATAAATCAATAATCATCTTGATAATCATTACTATTATTATCTTGATGATGATTAAATGTCAACAACAAAATTTCGATTCATAAATGTCTGCATGTCTTGAATTTTGTCCCTAACACATACATAAAACAACGGGGAAAAAAGCTTTGAAATTCTCGAATCTATTGAATATTCGAATAAGATAAACAAAGATGAAGAAATGAAAAAAAAATGTAATTCAAAAAAATTATTTAATCAATTTGATTGACTTTTTGTCCAGTTTTCGTTCGAATGAATATTAGGAATCAGGAAAAAAAACAACAAAATGACAGAATGCAGAATCGAATAACTTTCAAATTTCAATCATGTTATTAAAAATACGGAATGAATGAAATAGGAAGAGAAAAAAATCAAAACAACTAAACATCAACAAAACAAACGTAGCCATTTTTTCATTGTATGTATATACTGCTGCCGTCCACTTGTAAAATCAAAAAGATTGGAGGAAAAAACAATAGTCCACACTATATAATCGAATGGGTGAAAGGGGGACAGAAAACATGAAGAAATCCATTCATTTCTGAACAATCTTTATCTTTTTTTCATACTCCCCATTCATCACCACCATGAATTCTGGAAACAAAACAAAACCAAAAAAAAATAAAATAAAGTTGACAATCAAATGAATGCTGGCTGATCGCGCGAGACCATTACGAATTTGGTTAAAACAAATGTCAAAAACAATAAGTGACACATGTAGACAATAAAGATAATAATAATGGGAAAAAAGCTCTAAAAAAAGTTCTTTGAACCGCTGATTTTGTCGATGATGATGATGATGATGATGATGAGTGCCCGCAGAAACCTGAATCTAAATCCATCTCAATTGAAATAAAATTATTTTGGAAATAAAAAAAAAATTTCATTTCAAATGATTTTTATTATGTCATGGATCGCTATACGCCCATATCTATGACACACACACACACACAAAGATAACAACATATATACACGTTCAATTATATTCAATATATGCCTTGTTGTAAATGAATGAACAAATGAACCAGAAATAAAATATTAAAACAAAGTTCTTTTTTGAAACGTTGATGACAGCTTGTTTTTGTTGTTGTTGTTGTTGTTGTTGTTCAAACTGCAATTCATGTAAAGAAATAAATATTTTATATTCTGTTACGAGAATAATGAAAAAAAAATTATTGAAAACATTGATAAAAAAAATTATTCGTGAAATCGATTCTTGTTTGCTTTTGTTGTTGTTGTTGTTGTTGTTGTTGTTGAAAAGTTCATCAGCCTTTTTTCGTATCGACAATGTTTCAGTAGTAACTTTTGAATCTTTCTCTATTCCTTTCTTACCCACACGCATATTAAAATGTTAAAAATTCTCTGAAATAAAAAACTAAAATTTGCTCCAGAATCCAGCCCGATTCCACACATTTTTCTAATTTTTTGTTGTTGTTGTTTTTTTTCCAGATTCTCGATAGAATAATCTCTTCATTGCTTTTAATGATATTTAAAAAAAATGAATGTACTCTGATTTCTTACCTCAATATATGATCAACAGTAAAGCAAAGAATGTAATCACTTTCCATTAAATTTATTTTTGGTTGCTAAAGTAAACTATTTTTCATAGTAATTATATCCATATATTTGTTATATAAACTGCCCCCTTTTTTCCAACTAATACAAGTTGTTTGAAAACAAAAATCCCCAAAAAAAACCAGATGACAAAGATCAAGTTTCGACAATCGTTTTTCTCCACACCTCTCTCTTATTCTCTTAGTCCTCTCAATCAACCAATAGTTTTAATGTAAAATTAAAATTAGGTCATTCTATATACATTTGATAATGTGATCGATCAATTTTTGTTTTATCGTCAATAAACAACTTTATCGATGATGATGATGATGATGATGACAATAAATCATGTTATGAACTACATATATATATTATTATCGTTTGTATATGGATGGATTTATGTGTTTAGAATGTTCATAATATATAAAAATTATTGGAAACAAGATTTGTGAAACAACTTCAATTTCCAAAAAAAAAAAAAAATTGTTGTTCACCGAAAACAACAATAACAATACAAGACATATATAGATATGAAAAAATCTCGTTGAATAAATTTTGTTATTTGCGATGTGTGTGTGTGTGTGTACAATCGAATTTTACATTCTATGAATTTCATCCAGTTTTCATAAAATGGTTTGTTTGTTATAATGTATGGCCCCATACAAATCTTGGAATTGGATTTTTTTTCGTTTTCTTTTTTTTTGAGAATAAAATTCCATGCCAATGTTAAGAATTGTGCGTGTGTGTGTCTGTGTGTGTGTGTGTGACCATAAATTAATGAAAAAACGATATAATGAATTTATGCCGCATAACTCAAACCAAAAAAGAAAATAGAATAAGAAAAGAAAATTAGCTTGAAAAAATTATATTTAATTAATATGGACACATATAATATAATGATGATTATGATGATCATCATCATAATTTTAACAATAGTCAATGACATTGTCCATTTGAACAGTTTTTGTTCTCATTCTTTTTTGTTTTGTTTGTTTGTATCATTCATTCATTTATTAATGTCACCAAATATTAATAATAATGATGACGATGTTTTGTTTGTTTCCCCTTTTTCATTAAATTCCATAATCATCATCATCATCATCATCATGAGCATTTCCGGAAAGCTAAATATTTTATATAACAAATATATGAGAATAAAACCAAAAAAAAAAAAATGTTGAAACATAAATAATTCTTATATGTCCATTGGTATGTATCTGTGTGTGTGTGTTTGTGACGATAATTCAATTAATTCTTTGATCTTGATATCACCATCATCATCATTTCTAGTTGTTATGTATGATCTATTGAGAATATTTTCTTTTTTCTTGAATTATTCTATCAGTGGATCATCTTTTGTCTTTTTTTTTTGCTATTAAGATTGGATCAACAACAATGAGGAAATGGTTTTCTCATCAGTCTGACTTGATTCATGAGATTGTGAGAAGTGTACATTGAGGTTTTTTTCATCTTGATTTTCAAAAAAAATACACTCATGAATAGTAGAATATTTTTGTGTCTTGAAATTATAAAAAGACGAAAATGACCACAAACTAAGACAAGACATACGTAGAAAGAATGAAACAAAATGAAACAAATAAAGGAATGCAATGACAAATGGTTAGGGCCATTGCACTCCATATGCGGCCTAATTTAATGTGCGCAAATGTATTTTATGTATATATGATGCGTGGGTGGATGGATGAATTTTGGTATTCCTTGAATACATTATTATATTATATTAATTCTGATGTTATTATTATCATGGTCAATATTTGAGAAATTTTCATTTTATCATTCATTGCTTTATGGCAATCATTGTAAAGTCATAAAAATTGAATTTGAATCATTGATTTCTTCGATGATTGAGGAAGAAAAAATTTTCTTACATTGAAAAGTTTATTTTCCTATTATTCAGTCAGGTTATCAATAGACAAACAAACCAATAAAAAAAAAGAAAAGAGATTAGGACTGTTGGAATTTTTATTCTAATGTGATCAAATGTTTTCCCTTTCTAATATTTTACATTCAAAACATTCAAATGAATTAATATACAAAATCAAGGAGAAAAAAAAGTTTTTTTTTCCTTTTTTTCAATACAACAATAACACCAAGAACAACATAATAATATGGCTGCTATTCACATGCAAATACAAGATTGAAAATTCAAATGATCTTCATACAATGCAATGCACACACACAATTTCAAAGAGTACATTTTTTTTGGAAAATTTACAATTATCAGATGTAAAATAATCTAATTGTAAAATTATGCGAGATATATAATTGTCGTGAACAG